TCTGGTTGAAATTCCCTCTGTTGTTATTGAAGTTGTTGAATCCTCTGTTGTTAAAGTTTCCTCTGTTATTGAAGTTTCCTCGGTTGTTGTAGTTATCATGTTGGTAGTTTTGTTGACCAAAGTGTGTATTTTGTTGATTGTTCTGGAATTCACGGTGTTGTTTGTTTTCCTCTTTCAGAGTGTTGATTTCTTGTTCAAGTTTGTTCTGTTTCTCCAACATCTGTTGCATCATCTTCCGTAACGTCTTATCATTGGTGTCTATGGTGTTTGATGTGACGGTTGATTTCTTTGTATTCTCCATCGATTTTGAATCATTCTCATTGAATTCATACTGGAAAGCGACATCTCTTAACTTCTGGAATGTTGTTGTACTGTCTTGGTTATTTAGTCTCCTTAGTTCCCATCTGAGTTTAGGACATTGAACACCTTCAATTAGCTGTTCTTTAAGTAACTGGTCCTCATTCTGTAGATTACTTTGTGTTTCTTTAATTCTGTCCATGCATTGCATCAGAGATTGTGAGAACTGTGCTACGGATTCAGTTGCGTCTTGTTTCCTTGTGTAGAATTCAGTGTAGCTTTTGTGTGCTGAGGTTTGACGTCCAAAAACTCTCTTAAGTGTTTTGAAGATTTCATCTGGTGTTGTATTTGGGCCTAAGTATTTAGCTTCTCTCCGTGGTATTGGGTCAAGGTGATAAATTAAGAAGTCCACTCGGTCCCTCTCACGTATGTTCCTGATTGCAATATTCGCATCCTCGCACCAATCATAGATGTCTTGTCCCTTTGATCCATTGTATTTACACAGTTTTGGAAGTTTTGAGTTTCCTTGAAGACCTTTGTTTCTTGGTTCATTGTTGTCATTGTCTCGTCCAGTGTTGCTGTTATCACTGTCAGGTTCAGGTGGGTTGCCTAACAAATCGACATTGTATTTCTTTTGAAGTTCAGCTAGTTGTCTTTCCAGAGATATCATCTGTAGTAATCCAGCTTTCTCCTCCTTTTGTTCCTGTTCTAAGATTTCAACCATTTCATCAATTTTCTTTTTCGCATCCTCTCCTATCGCATCCTTGGGTTTTGTTCCGCCAGTAGCCATTACGGTTTAAAAATATTTTATTTCGCGTACGTAATCGCGTAATTAATTGCGTAAGTAATGACGTGAGTAACCGCGTAATTAATTGTGTAAGTAATGACGTAAGTATAAAAAGCGTAGTGATTTGCGAATCGGCGCGTAAAATGTGAACCAACACACTTAAAATTGGTGAAAAATTTATCACATTATAACATCCAAGCGTGCGATAAAAATATGTGATATTTTGTCAGGGATACTAAACAATTCACATCACACACTAAACAATATATACCCTTTATAGAATATTTTATAAACTCTGAGGTACTCTCTTAAAGTATAAGCTCTGGTTATAAATGAATGTTAATGGTATAAGACATCAAATATGGCAAGGCTATCAGAAAAATGTCCAGGCTACTAAACAAAATGATACTCATTTGCAAAAATGATTGTCCTGTGTACTATAATACTATTGGACAAATCATATGAACCTGGTACTAGATAAAATGTATGTCCTGGTTTACTTAAGGTTCAGTGGAATTTGTAAAGACAAAATATAAAATATATGTCCAGGCTACTAATCAAATATATAAATGTACACTGACAAGGGTATAGAACAAATATGTGAGCTGGGCAACAAGCAAAATATGTGCTTTGAGAACTAAACAAATTATTTGTCCTGGATACTGACCCTAAATTTTAATCATGTTCATGGCTAAATCACCTGATGCATAATTGCATGTATTTATTGAACTGTGTGAGTCAACTTTTGCTTTCACTCACAAAATACTATTAATTGTCACCTGATATTGACTGGCTATTCAAAATATTGAGCTATAAATAGCTGATTTATGGTTTTATATGAGATTTCATTTGTTTACATTTGTCACTAATTGAATTTCTCACATAGATTGTTCCAGTTGTATTTCTGTATGTTCCTGTTGAAATTCAAATATTCTAGTTGAAATTCAAATGTTCTTGTTGTAATTCAAATGTTCTTGTTGAAATTCAAATGTTCTTATGAATTGTTGTTAATTATTGTCACAATGTGGTAATGGACTGCATTTACACTTTTGTTGTTCATCTTTGTAGAACCAGTGTCCATTGGATGTCTCAATCGTATCGTACCACTTACTTGATTTACTCGACTTCCATCAGTAGCATATATGTGGATTTGGTCAAAAAAAAATTCTACCTATCAATAACACTATCCTAACAAAATCTTAAGATGAAGTGTAACACCCGCAGTACCAAATGTAACCATGGGGGAGTGGACGTGGGTTACATTACAAATCGAATTAACAGAATAAGGATATAAAATGTATTTAAAATGTATTCAACCCTATAATCAATCAAATGATCAAAATGTTATACAAATGAGCTAAATCTCTCAACTGATCTTAATACTCAAGCTACCTAAATCACTAACTGATCTTGTACTCAAGCTACCTAAATCACTAACTGATCTTGTATTCAAGCTACCTAAATCACTAACTGATCTTGTATTCAAGCTACCTAAATCACTTAAGACCAAAACCACAAATGCTTAAGGCTGTGCACCTAGTTTGTACCCCAGAGCTTATAAAATAAGCTATACAGTCTCTGAGTGCTAGCCATACATCTTTAGTACGCACACAGTGTCTCCATGTCTTTACAGTTCAAAATCAAGGCTAGCACTGGTGATTTGGAAAGTAAATGCAATCAAGGTTAATCCCCTTGCATGTGCACACTGTGTGTAAATCAAAGCTATTCTCCTAGCAGGGTTTGAAAATATAATTGAAATACATAAAAATATAACTCTCCACAGTAGGGTTTGAAAATCTAAAACATCCTGTCACAATATGTATGTGTATATATATCATATTTCACACTAATGCTTTTAACCTTTGAGCCTGCAGTTTCTAGAGGACCTGAGAATTAATAGTTGTCTGAGATTGGCCTCTACTAGAGACCTCTTTCTAGCAATGAAACGGTCCGGAGCGCCGAAGAGGTTCACAAACTTCATACGCTATCATCTCAAGAATCCCCTTTGATCAATTGAACCAGATGTAAATAATTAATTGATCTGACATATATAATCACATATAACCAAATATATATTCGAAGCATGTTTTACTAATTTAGTGCATGAGTAATAAATGCACTAAATGCACTTAGTGTGTGCACATGATAACTACTATGAAATATAACGTGTGTATCATCATAACATATAATCCAGGTGTACATAATTAATTGATCGAATAATTTATTAACCGATATTACCTCAGTGCCTTTGACTGAAGTGAGTTGTAAATAATACTAACTCTAATTTGTTTATAATATATTTATCATATATCATGAATAACATCTTATTGGAAGATGTTAAAGATGCATGAAGTGTGATAATCTGCCGAACGGATTGTACCTTATTGGAAGGTGCAGGTGGGCAGAATTTTGTAAATCTTATATAGAGGGCATACAAGGTATAAGTATGTCTCCATGTAAAAGTAAATTGAACATAAGATGTTAGGTATAGAGATAAGTTAGATAAGTTTAGTCAAGTATCATCATTGCATGTATTCATACATATTACTCACATAGTAATCATATTTACTCACCTTATTTAACCATTATAACATGATAATATATTAATCACTAATAAAATAACAAAAGAAGAAGATGACTTCAGAGACGAGTAGCTCCTACAAAGATGAACTAAAGAATCACCAGGTGCCATCTATCAATGGATCACCCAACATATGAACGCTGAATGCGGATTATGATCAGTGATATCGATAATGAATATGGACGCTGAAGGTGAACCTAGCAAATGCTATGAAGAGAAGAGAATGGATAGAGACATTTACTTATGCATATCCATACTGCTACAACAATTCATAAACACTAATAGTGATATGAAGACGGAGACTAAGAATAAAGTTTAACAGTTAATTAAACTATGAACTCTGGAGCATGAAAGTAATCCTGGTCTTTCACCACATTCATTGGAATCAGGAACCACGTCAACCTAATGGGTTGTTGCGCGGCCGGAATGTGGTATATCATCTCAAAAATACAAAATAAAAATAAAATAAATAAATAATTTATATTGTAAAGTAAATTAACCAGGTATGGTTAATTTCTAAAGAAGGGGAGATTGTTATGATTCGGTCAGTACGTAATTATATTTAATTATATATAATTACTTTATTATTTATTTATTATTTATATCTAATATAAAATAACAATTTATATTCAGCATATTCCAACATTGTAAAGATCTTGCTGTATTCTTATGATTAATTACTATTTAGACCTCAGTTTGCTTTAGTGCAGGGGAATCCCTACGCTACTATATTCAGCCAAAATAAAGATATATCAGAAGAATTCTGACAAGTTAAAACTTCCAACAACCAATCACAACTCAGAATTACGATTTGAATCTTGCTTACATAAGCATGAAATCAGCAATATTCTTACTTATATTTGCACAATTTTGACAGGTAAAATAATGTATTTTACCTGGTATATAAAGAAGTCGGCAAGATCTGTTGATTCAGTAAGTTTTACTCACCCACTACGATGCTCAACAATTGATGAAAGGAGAAACAATAACAAGCGAATCTACCGAAACTCGGCTGGCCGGATCAATCTCAAGAAGAATTGGAATTTGAAATAAAAATTAAGAAACAAAACAAAGGAGTCGTGTTCAATTAGGTAGTCAGGAACCCTGCGAGTACCGAAGGACCACAAGATCCCGAGATAACAGTTACGAAACGTAACACAAGGGTAATATATTTGAGAAGGATATTGCTGTTTTCAACAAAAGGCCTATTAAAAATGGACATGTTTGAAAATATTTTTGCTAGCCCACTTTGTTAATTGCTAGATCTACCATTGCATCTATTATTATCTGAATATCTCTAAATTATCAAGAAATGATCTATAATGTAGAACTCACCAGGCCAATCATGATGTTTATGATGCACTGCCCAACAAGTTCTCTTGGGTCAAAAGGAACACCATTGTTACTTCTGAATCTTGTAATACAATCCTGGATTTCATCAGATGCTAAAGAAGTAATTCGGTCCATGCCATCCCCAAATTGTTTAAGACCACTATGTGCGATCTTTTTCAGCTTTTTCAAGTCAGGACCTAAATCCCTCCATATTATATCTTCATGACCTCCAGGAGTTATAAATTTCATTCGCCATGACGAAGGCCGTCCAGCAAAATCACCGGACTTTTCTAACAGTGCCTCTTTGATGACATCATAATCATTTAAGACGACCACCTCTTCATTAAACAATTGAATTTTGAATACACTTCCGTATTGTCGACTCCACAGAAGAAACTGTACAAAAGGAGCATTTTGATCAAGTTGAAAAGCATTGCCAAAAATTGGTGTCCCTTTTGGTCCTGGAATATCTAATCCTTTCCACAGTATCTTTTTTACAATCCATACAAATATGAGAGAAAGTATGAATAATATGGCAGGCAACATTGTTGAAATGATCTCTGTTTATTTCAAACTGCTCTTATTTAGAGGTCATATTTCACTTTATACAGATACATGTACTTATATACAGATCATCATGGTTTAGGGGCTATCCAATTAGAGGATCTCAAGGGGACTTTTGGAAAATTCATAGCATGAATAAGGAACAAATATTGTAGGCTTGTGTCAGACAAGAGAAGCTCTCGATTACATTTTTAAAATTCTTGTATTCTCTCACATCTATGGTTTTGATAGGACACAAAATCTAATGTTAATCATCCCCTTACAAGATCTAATGGTTTGTCCTCAAGCTGTTTTCTTGTTTACATATATGAGTTGGGTCAGTCTAACCAGTTATAGACCTTTGAAACTCTTTATTGAAATGTTTTTGTCAAATTGGTTATAAATTGTTATGAACAATCCAATTTTGGCTGAGAATTTATTTGTGTTTCCTTGTACATGTGATAATAAATAAGAAGGGCAATCGGCACAAAATTAGAAAGAAAGAACATTGTTTAGCAAGGCTTGGGTTAATAAATAAAATATTCAGCATATCATTGTCTTTATTTTATTTCATAAAAATGCAGAATTAATGGGTCGATTTCATTGTACATAAGTGGCTATGTTAAAGGATGCAAGTACTGTAACATTTAATCCCCTCATCCTTTGAACAAAGAATCATATTACTGAAGTTCAAAAAGTAAAATAAGTTAATATCAGTGCAGCATGAGAAAATATAAGTGTAAATACTTGATTCTGTTTATAAGTTGTTTATCAGTAATGTATGTTGGTTGTACTTAACCTTACGATATAGGATGTTTTTCAGGACATCTGCATGGTTAAATAGTATACATATATGTGCTTTAAACCAATAACAAAAACATCTTCAAGTGTAATTTGAGATTCTTAGGTACATGTGCTTTGGAGTAGATTTCAGAAATACATATGTTGACATTAAAATTCATGATCTGTCAAACTTTGAAAATATCAGAATGACAGCTCACTTCAATTTCTGTTTTACCATATTGAAAAATTGAAAAATGGCTCTCACAAATCTAAGATCTCTTGAAAGTATCTTCTTAGTTAGGAACCAATGCAAAAGATTAATTATCCCTTCGAACTAAGTTCGAGGTAGATATAGGAAAGCTGTCCGTCCATTCGTCCGTCCGTTTGTCCGGGCGATAAATCAAATACCAGTTGATAGATTTTATTCAAATTTTATAGGCTTATGCTTTATGGGGATAGGACCTCTGCTCAAGAAGGAATTTTCAATATGGCCGCTTAATTCAAAATGGCCACCATTTTTCCTAAAAAAAATTTAATCTTTGATTACTCAAATACTAGTTCGGCCCTCGGTCCCATATTTCACTATATTGCCCTTCGAAATGATGTTTATTATACTACTCATAACATCCAAACATCTATGTAACCATTACTAAGATAGAGGCCTTCTTGGTCGAAAATCGCAGCTGGACTATAGATTTTTCTTTTACTCTTGGTTTGTAGAACACATTTAGTAAGTATGTCAATTTCAACTTTCTTCTACCGATGTGCGATATCAAACTGCTGTGACATGTTACAATATAATTATGATATACGGGCTATTCAAAAGATACCTACAGCATAATTACCTTCTAGACTTTTCATTAAAACTAATTTTCAAAAATTGTGCCAATAAAACTGTATTAGCTATATTGCTAGGGTACTGCCATCAAGAAGATAGATGGCAACAAGTCATAATTATTCGGAGATCTATGATTTCATGGACGAGGTGTTTAGAGAAACGCAATTTGGAAAAACGGGGACAACATCCTTGAAAACAAAAAGCGTCAATCCAAAAATCATAATTGATGATGTTTTCGAGAAACATGCTCCTGTATAGTAATCGAGATTCCATCAAAATAAATTAATTATCAGGTGTGAAATAAATACTAGAATTTAGTACATTATCATTTCTGAATGCAAAACCTGCCTCATATTGTCATCTTATAATAGGATCATTCATCATCGTTTAATATAAATTCATACAATACTTTTCATGTTCAGCACCCTACACCCCATTATATGTATATTTATTTTTTGTTACTTCTATACTAGACTATACTGACTGAAAGAAAATACTCTTTTACAATATATACCCCAAATTATACAAAATGATCAATTTTAAAGATGAAATTCAATGTTTTCATCTTACTCTTATTTCATATTTTCCAGTGCTGGTACAGGAAGATGTTTATGATAAGCTAGTAGAAGAGCTGCAGGGGTCTATTGACTACCTCACAGACACACTCCCTTCTATCAAAGCAGAACAACAGAGACATGAGCAACTGTTGACAAGGTACTGTGCATTGCCTAAATTAAAGCCTCTTTCCTTGTTAAAGTGGTAATAACGGATGGGCATGAGTAATTTTGAAAAGAAAATTGAAAAAGTAATAGTAGTATAGTACTGTGTATGTTTTTTGATTTGATATTTTTTATGCAGTGCCACAGCATTCCTATTTATCATGACTATCAATAGTTTTGATTTGATTTTGTGTTTAGTGTAAAGAGGCTTTTATATCATGGTCCGGTCACACTGCCTTAATTTCATAAATTCAATGTTTGATATGAAATACAAACTGGGCTCTAGGATACCAGAACAACAACTTGAAAGAATCAATAAATGCTTTAACTTTATATTGACATTAGTTCAAAAAGAGACAAATGTTATGGTGTTCTTCCCTCAAGACTCAAGTCTGTAGCTGTTTACATATTATATTTCATGAGGGACCTTTGAGCGAGAGACACTCAGGGGACTAGATCCCAAAATGGACAAGTTTGTCTGGTAACCCAAAATTTGAAATGCTGACCCTTTTTAAAGGTAATTGCTCTAATGTCTCATGACCGAACATATTCGGCAATAATCATTCTAATCAATCAAGAGACTCATCTTGATCACTTGTGAAAAGTTTTGAATGAAACATAGGCTACATGGTTTCTATTCAGGATGCCTTACCCTTGGCTTTCTAGACGGACCTTTTTCCAAACGGGCCTTTTCATATTTTATGACGTAATACACCATGCACGTTTATCTTAAATAATTAATCAAAATAACTTCATTTTAAAGTTATTTTTTAACTGTTGTAATGCCAGTCGACGGAAAATATATTGTATTTATAATTATTTATTCAAGTAATGAAACAGTTTACAACATCAATGAAGCTGGAAGTCAGTCTTTCTAAAAATAAATAGATTTATGCCATGGGTCAGCAAAAATGGCTGCGTATTTCTAGGTCCCAGGTTATAAGAAGGCGTCAATAACGATGCAAAAGGGTTGAATATATAAGAAATAGATTTATAATTTTTCAGTAATTCGCTTTTCCGGCTGCCATTTTTTCTGATTGATCGAGTGACCTAGTGACGAAGACTACTTTTCAACAGGCACAAAAATGAAAAAACAAAAAGTATAAATCTAGTATTTTATCTCAAAATACGGTAAGTTCATGGTCAAATTGGTGTTCATCCAATACAAAACAGTCGTACAGTAGATTGAGTTAGTAAAATTAAATGTTATCATATCAATCGGATTTCCATTAGCTATAGACTCACTTATATATTCCATAAAATATTGGTTGAAATGTGTGCATCAAACAAACGCGGATAGCTTAATAAATATATCATTTCGGGATAAAAATAACATATATGTCAAACATATGGAATGCATATTAAAGTACTTTCATTTTCAACATGTCTTTGAAAATGGGAGTACGTTTGGAATAAAACGATTACTAAAAGCAATTAAACTTGAAATGCAAAGAAAATATATAGAACTTAATGATAGAGCTATAAGGGAAAATAGAAAACTTGGAAATTATATGAAAATTGATTACAATCTGGAAAGATATTTAACATTAAGCGTGAACAAAATGTTAATTTTTAAAATGGCCAGGTTTAGATTAGCAAACCATAATTTAAGAATTGAAACAGGGAGACACGAGAAAAAGAAAAAAGATGGCACCAAACAGCATCGACTTGAAATAAATGAAAGAATTTGTCAGATTTGCAATAAGGGGGAAGTAGAGGATGAAAAGCATTTTCTTCTTGTGTGTAAAAAATGTAGATTTGAATTTTTTAATAAACTAAGTTTTATTGACACATTTGATAATATGTCGGATAAAGAAAAATATAACTTTTTGATGACTTCTGATGATTTTGAAATTGTTAACGAATTGATACATTTTATAAATAAACTTTTTAATCAGCGTCGGGAGCTATTTGAAAAAGGAAAGATTGTATGATGGTATTTGTGAAACAATGCATGTTGTTTTTTTAACTGTATAATTATATGTAAATGTCTTGTAATTGATTTTGTGAGGAAACCAAGTGTTTGGTTTGAAACACAATAAAATCTTGAATCTTGAATCTTGAATCCTAATGATATTTGATGATTCGTCGAAAAATGGTTTTAATTCCAATTTTGCAAGAGTAAAGATAACCCATGTTTAAAGGAAAGGTTTTTGACGTATTATATTCTTTAGAATTAATTCTATTGAATTGAACTATTGTTAACCATTTTTGGAGTACTCAGTTACTCAAGCTCGCATAACAATAAAGAACATGAAATCATTAAGTAAATATTTTTATGCCACTATGGTTGCAAACAATCTGACAAAAGTATGTCTCATTCTTCAAAAAAGATTAAAGTGAACACATGTCTGAATCAGAAATACGATGGACAGCGATGAAGAAGATGCTATTTCCCAAACTCATGGGACTTTGGATAGTTCTTTACCATTTGAAGAACTGGAGTATGATTTATCACAAGCCAGTGAGGCTGAGTGTTGTACATTTGCTGTTGAGCTACTTGATATTTTGAAAATCCAAAATGACTATAACAATGAAAATTGTTTACAAGCATTAGACACCATGAAGCAGATGTATAATACTGTTATGCCTTATATCCCAAGTGTCTGCAGTGAACTGAATAGCAACAGAATGCCGATGCAGATGCTTAAGCAGCTAAAATATTTTGAACACTTTAACCTACTCAAGAATAACAAAGATGAAGATGAAGAAGAGGAAAGTATGTGGACTGGTTATTCAAATACTTTGGACATTCTGGTAAATTACAGCTCTCCATGGAATGGTGGTCACGACAGTCTGGCTTCAGGATTTGCCAAAAGCGGAGTCATCAAGAAGCTATTATCAATCATAACTGTTGAAGAGTATATCAATAGTCTTGACAATGAGCTTGTCAAGGAAGTGATACAAAGCTGCCTCATTACACTCTACAATGTGGCTATACGACCAGAGACACGCTATACATACAGACAGAACAATGCTAAAGATAGAATCAAACCATTCACGAGTGACAGTGATGTACATAGTGGTTGGAGGACTGTCAGTTCTCTTCTACAGGCCTTCATACTAGATGAAGTAGATTTCAAGCATTTAGGTACCTCTCGTGACACGATTTTTGAAGTGGCAGATAAATTAAAAGATGCTGTTGATACATATGACCGAAAAGCAAATAGATTTAGTACCCATGAGTTAGCTTTTAGTCTTAGTGCATTGGCTGTGAATGATGATAACAAGAAAGTCATACTGGAAGCAGGAGCTATACCAGCCTTGGTAACGATGATGGAGGCTGGTGATGATGATGAAAAGAAATTGGCTGCCCGAGCTATTTGGACAATGTCTTTTCATGAAGAGATACGCCATCAAATACGTGGAGTTGATGGTTGTGTTACTGCTCTAGAAGAATTGTCTGAAAGTTGGAACAGTGATGTTAAACGTGCAGCACTGGGGGCCCTATGGGAGATTAATGAAAAAGGCAATGATTATCCTGTAGATATTGAAAATGAGCAGGGACATATCATGATAAGCTACAATTGGAGACAAGATAAAGAAAAAGCAAGAAAAATTAACACTGAATTGAAAAACCGTGGCTATAAAACATGGATTGATATAGAACAAATTAAAGACTCAACGTTAGATGCTATGGCGAAGGGTGTAGAACAATCGAGAATCGTCATAATATGCTACTCAGAAGGATATAAGGATAGTCCTGCATGCCAAACTGAAGGTAGTTATGCCCACTCCCAGAAGAAGGAAATTTTATTTCTCAAAATGCAGCGGGACTACAAGCCAGATGGCTGGCTGGGAGCCATGCTTGGTGATAAACTATTCATTGATTTCAGTGGGAAGTATCCATTTGAGGACAAAATAAAAGAACTAGTGGCTTATATTAAGAAAACTGGAATGGATTCTTTGATGCCAGTTGAAAATGAAAAAAATAAGCTAAAGGGCAAACCAGTAAAATGGGACAAAACACAAGTTGCAAGCTGGCTCACCGAAATTGGTCTGAAAGCTAATATTGGTCACTTTGGCAGTCATGATGGCAAATTGTTATCACGCCTTGCTAGCATTCGTGCTGAAGCACCTGAGCATTTTTACAAGTGCCTCAAACGTGACTATGGACTTGACATGATGGGTAGATTGAAGTTTGTAGAAGCACTTGAAGAAGTTTTTCCAATTGTGGAGAAACAAGTTCAGCACAAATCTCGTTCTTGCACTATGTTGTAAATCTATAATGACATACGTTCTTAATGAACTCAAATGAAGAGCTAACCTACTCCATGAGCTTCTTTTGAAAGCCCATGCCTACTTTACGAATTTCTTTTTCTACGTATGAAAGTTTAGAACTGATTAGTTTTTGGGCAGTCTGTGTAAATGTTACGGTAGCTATTTGGATTTTTTATCCCAAAAACTGTCTATTCTATTTTAAGGCTGCGATTCTGTTCACCCTGCAATAATTGAAAATTTCTGTTATTTTCAGATAAATGTCAAGGAGGATTGGCTCCCAGGATCGAGATTCAATATTTTCCAACAATGAAAACATCGGAATGACGTTATTTTCTGAAATTGTAATCGACTATTAATTCAAATTAACAGTTCAAAAGATTCAAACCAATATCTCAATCATTTCTTGTGAGTTTTGGAATTTTTGGTTAGGATATAAGACCAAAATTCACAATTCAAATGTTGAAGTGAACAAAATGGCTGCTGTTTGAATTCAAATTTTATATCACAACATATCCATATATGGGAATGGGACAGAATATTGATGTTGCACTCTGGGGGCCAATCTTCCTTGGATAAACATCATGGTCATTTTTATCTGTACATATTTTGTAAAAGAAACTTGTATAAAATGTATATGCTTTAGTAGAATAGCGATAGATTGTCAATAAAAAGAAACATGCATATTCTTATAAAATATTGTCTAAGTGATAAATGATAGAACACATTTTTTAATTATTATGTCACCACCAAAAAGTGGTGACATATTGTTATAGTCTCCATTTTTTTACGGCAGTTGGTGATTGGTGGTTGGCGATCAGCATCTGTAACAAAATTCTTACAACTTCCAATAACTTAACAAAAACTTTTTAGACTGACTTCAGTTTTTTTTCAAAATCATCTCCAAGTTCTCAGAAGTTCAAATCTGACTTTATATTTAAGATTTGACCTTTTCACGGTCAAAAAAGGTCAATAAGGTATTTTTTCAACTTGCTTCAAAATTGACCAAATTTTTTTTTTCAAAATTATCTACTAGTTATCAGAAGTTTAAATCTGACTTAAAATTTGAGATTTGACCTTCAAATAAAAAATTGGTCAATTTTTTTCAAAATCATCTTCAAATTTTCAGAAGTTCACATCTGGCTATAAATTTGATCTTCAATGACATTCCCAAGGTCGAAAAAGATGTGACCTTCAATGACCTCATCAAGGTCAAAATGTCTTTTTTCAACTTGCTTCAAATTGACCAATTTTTTTCAAAACCATCTTCAAGTTCTCAGAAGTTCACATCAGGCTAAATAAAATCTCAAGGTCGAAAAAGATGTGATCTTCAATGACCTTCTTAAGGTCAAAAATGTATTTTTTCAACTTGCTTCCCCTCAAATTGACCAATTTTTTTTTCAAAATCATCCAGAAGTTATCAGAAGTCCAAATCTGACTTATGATTTAAGATTTGACTTTCCCTTCAATGACCTTCTCAAGGTCAAAAAAGGTTATAAGGTCTTTTTCAACTTGCTTCAAATTGACCAATTTTTTTCAAAATCATCTACAAGTTCTCAGAAGTTCACATCTGGCTATAAAATATGAGCTTCAACATTCTCAAGGTCAAAAAAGATGTGACCTTCACTGGAGGAAAAAAATGTTTTTGAAAAAATGCTATACCTGCACGTGTTATTTTCTGGTACAAAATAAAGTATGAAGGCATGTGTTTTTTCCTTTGCTTTTTTCAGGAAAGTATCACTACATGTACATTGCCTTCTTTCAGTATATCTGGTAAGAAATTTGGAAAATTGGAAGGGCAGCCATTTTCTTGAAATATCAGCATTACCTGGAGTTACCATTGACCCCTTACCAGATATACTAAAAGAAGACAATGTAATGATACACCAGTACTTTCTTGAGTACCAGTACTCAAGAGCAAATGGTGTGGAACCTTTTCATCATCCCTTGAATTTGTTGCATGTATGAGTTCAGTATTGATATATTATATTTCCAGTGAAACGAGTATGAAGCAGGTCCATGAGAAAGTGCGTGTGCACTTAGAGGACAGATTGATTCAGGTCCAACAGGGATCACATGACAGTGTCAGTGAACAAGAGTAGGTTGATTCTTGATATTTTCATCACTTCACTTTATCCACATGTACTTTCTTCTGGAGATGTTGTGAGATGTTGAGATAAACCCTCCGCGGAATTAGACTCTTCCTGTTTCTTAATAATTTATTTTGGCTTCATAGCCAGGGTATCTAGAGGATTATCCTACAGTCCTATATTCGATAAAATTAGTTTATTATATTTCAATTAACTTGTATTAAATAAAATTCATTATTTGTTTTTTCATTCATTTGGGTAAAATGTTTTATTGGACACTTTTTGGAATGGAATAAATACCCATGGTAAAGTATAGGATCCCATTTAAGTAAGGGCTCAATTAATACAGTGATTTCATAGGAAATTGCCAATTGCATACCTGTGCATCTCTGTGAAATTACTTACAATTGTAATCCATTAGATCTACATGTAAATCAATTTGTACATCAGAATGCAATTTGATTCTATTCAGGTTGAAAAAAGAACTACGAGGTCAAATAAAAAATGCAGACAATCTTGGAACTGCGTTGATGCGTAAGACAAAAGCATTCTTAGACATCCACTTTTCTCACTCCCCTGAGGATCCATCTGACACGTCATCTATGGTAAGAACAACAATTACTGCACATTTACTTTACATTCAGAAAATATGGTTGAGATTGAATAACCATTGATTGGACCATTTCATTTATATGGTGTAAATAAAAAGTGTACATACTCGTCCCTCCAATTTCGAGGAATTATTTGTTCATTTTTGTACAAAGGGAAATGTTATAAAGGAAAATTTAGTCATATATGATTTAATATGAGAGTTAAAGCCTTTTGTCAATAATTCATATGCACCATGTATGGGAGGTCTTCAAAACAATTTAAATAAAAACAGGTAATTATTATCCCTGTTATATGGTGGCCACTACCAGCTTTCATTGAGAGGGTGTAATTACTCAAACTACTTCATACAATATCGTACCACTTGTTCATGAGATAGGTGTAGCTGTAAACTGTAAAGGGGATGCAATTGTTTCTTGACACTTTGTACATTTTCAGCACTCTTTAATGAAAAGATGATAATAGTACATGCTTTTTTGATGCAATATTACTGTAATCATTTTTTGTAATTTTTATTTTATTCATGAATGTACAGTTGTTTTACAAACTGCCAAATTAGTTGCAATAATTAAGTGATTTTTCAAAGAAAAAAGAATATATTCTTACTTGGACTGAGAAATGACAATGTAGCTCAAAACTCAAATGCTGCCAAATATTTATTTCTGAATGTTTATCATTTATTAAAGGATTCAAGCCAGTTGGCTCCACAGAATGAAGGCTATGTAACATTGTCCAAAATTATAGAGGTAAGTAGTTGGCTTCATATTATTTAGTATTTTCACTAAATATATTTAAGCTAAAAATATGTGAATAAATACTGGTACCCCAAGGCTGAGCCAGTTCATCAAATTTGTTGAAAAGAAATTAAAACAATGATGGGAGAGAAATTTTTGACGTGGTTTGGACAAATGCTGGATATTTAGCCACCCTCATTTATACAGACAGGTGTTCACTAGAGAGAGACGTGTTCACTGAGACAATTTTACTGTACTTCCTGTGTTTTCCAGGCTCTGATGGTGAATTGTTTAGACTTCCCACACGATCCATATGTACACCTGGACACAACTTATTGGCCTCCATACATAGAGATGCTGAAGAGAGTTGGACTAGTTGTTAACCACCCAGATGACTCAAACAGGATACGCTTGACTAATTTCCATATTTGATACATACAAATACATTCAGCTCACTGAGTGAGGCAAGTCGCATTTTAGTGCATAATGATGAGAATCTCGAAAGAAAGATATGATCAATTAACCAAACAAGCCAATCACTGCAAGATTTACTGAAGAAAGTGCTCTGTGCTCTGTGAGCTTTACAGAAATGAAGTGATATAATTTGAAATTGTATGTAATTGTAATTTGAAATTGGCCAGTCAGTCGTTTGTTTGTCAGTGTACCATAATATTTGCTCAGAAATTCAAGATTGAGTATCATTATGCAGTGTTATGTCTATGATATTACTGTAATTCAAATCTGCAGAGCTTTCAAGGGAGTTGTTCAGGACTCAATCCCAATGTTTTAAGTTATGTGGAGTGAAACAATGCATTAAAATGCAAAATGTCACCACATTTCATGATGCATCTATTTAACTTTAGGACTTTCATTGGGGTATATCACGACTCACTTCCAATGTTTCAGATTATGTGGAGTGAAAAATATGTTTTTCGAATAATGAATGATCATATTCGAGATAATTAACTTTGATCAGTGTCAAAACCAGTACATTGTATTGCAACAACAGACAAAATTATTTTAGGTATCTTGTTTATTTTGTTGAATTGTGGCAATATCTGTATAAATACAAGTACACATGCATATTTACATAACAGAAATTAAATAATGAGATGCATTTTGTCTATGATCATTTTAAATGTACATATTCAATATTATATAAACATTGTACATAGTGACACTAAATTATAAATAAACAACCAATGTAATATAAATAAAAAAAAGTGAATTCTATTTAATTTATTAGGAATATATTCTCCAACTTCTATCTATGATTGCACATAACTATAAGCAATTTATTCTTCTTCTAATATTGATCATGAACTGACAGACTTTCTTATAAGTCCATGATAAATGTGATTTAAACCTACAACTCCCAATCAAAGTATACAATCTGAGGTACACATAATAATATAATTAAACAATGCATTATATTTTTAGTTCCCTTGGATGTAGTTTTCAATAATTGCCTCAAGTATAGACGAGTTCACCAATAATATCTTATACCTGAAATTGAAATAGGGTAAGAACTTACACTTCTCAAAAACTACATTTCCTCAATTGTGTACCTTTAGAAAAGTAAAACTTTAATGTTTATGTTGTTATTTTATGTTGATGAGCTAGGTATTTAATTTGTCTTCTAGGATACATAATCACTCTAGTCTAACATATGACAAACACATTGGAATGTATTCACAACACCATGTAATAGACAGTATATATTTGCATTCCTCTGATCTCATTCCAAAGCACAGATAGCCTAATCTTCTATTCCAACTTTACCACCCAAATCAAAAAATTAGATCAAGTTGATCCACTTGGACATGACTATAAAACCCATCAACAATTCCACTGTCAACTCTTACAGCATTTATAAGAGGACGGACATCTTAAATTCAGTTATGGGCAATGTGTTCTCTATTAAGTTACACAAGTCTCACCAATTATGGGCAAGTTTTCAATAATGCCAATAAAATCAAGTCTCCAGTTATGGGACAGAAGTCTCACCAATTATGGTAGACCCTGCATACGAAGCTACCCATATGAACTACTATACATTGTCTGTGCTTCCATACAAGTAACACCCAAACACCAGTCACTAAATTCATACGCAATTGTACATGTAAAAGCCCAAACTATTTCCTGTCCAAGGTTTGAACTATCATGCTTCTGAGCTTCATTTTCACTTCTAGAAGTTAATCCATAATTCTTGAAACTGTAAAACGAAAGGCTTTTATACAGTGTCTACGCACCAACTTTATATACAGAGTATCTGTACATAATATATACACAACAATTGTTTGTTTTAAGTGAGCATATCATGGCTGGACTGTTCCTATCTCTAAAACTGCATCATCTTAAGGTATTCTCTGGAGACGAATAAGTTGTTGAGATTGGTGGCCTCTATCACAGGTACTCCTTGAATAATCACAGATGTAGCCATTGGGGCAACAATGGAAGTGGTCCGAACAGCAAACAGCCTGCAACAATATATAGTTAGTGTAAATACATAGTCTGCATTGTTGCAACAGATGAATTTATCAAATTTTGTTTATTCATTAATTTCAAAATCGTACAATAAACCTTTGATTGCACATCTGAACATCTTTCAATCTGTCCCATTTTTTAAAATTTGCGTTAACAAGTGCCATTCCAAAGACTAGGTAGGTCTCAATGGCGTTCATTTCAAGACAGGTTTTACTGTTCACTCTGCATATAGCAATGCTGTGTAATAGTCATCTCATGAATGTCATGTAAAATGAAGCAATTTAGTACCGAAGAATAAATAGACTTAAACTTAGAAGTAAGAATACAACAGTCAAAACAATTGTTTAATAATTATTTTAATTATCCCAAGGATTACATTCACGATTCACCAAAATAAACTGCGGGTTCATTTTGAGGAGGTAATATGAAATTAATTACAACTTTTGATTGGTACTGATTTGTTAATCAGAAACTTCTAGCGAATATTCTCACCTGAGGGAATGGACAGCAACCCCATCTTCCACTGAGTAATTGGCAGCATGTGTTGCCATCTGCACACTCATGTTCTCCATCAGGGCACATTACAGATGCCACAGCAGGTTCAGTCTTCCCAGGGGCATTGTTCTCTACAGGAGATTTTGGAATCCCAGGTACCTTGTTTACCCATGGTATGCTGATCTTTCCCTGTGTACACTTGCCTGATTTGAGATCACATGTGGAGCCCTGTGGACAGCAGTGGAGGTGATCAGAACAACACACAGCCTACAACATGTTAATTATGTTTATTAAACAGGGTCGCCCAGCAACAATCAATGCATCTTTTCAAACCCTGCTCTGAGGCTACCTAATCCTATGGTCAGTGGTCTGAGGAGTCGATCTTTTCCATACACCCTTGTTCAGCAATGATCACTGCATCTTTATATTTAGACTCATGTCATGACGCATTCAATAATGAAGTGTGCTTTTGCCATGTTTTCCCCTGTACCCACCCCAGTTCAAACTCCCCTTCCAATAGTTGTTTCACCTCTGCTAGTAGAGTGCTTATATTGCTCCTGTGACGATTATCATTTGAAGAAACTACTTCAACTAAAATTGAATTATGTCACTGTACATCTATTATTATGACTGAATAAAAAGTGTGGTCTTGGATTTTGATGTAAATACATGAATGTTCTTTGGGTGTATGATCAACCTTTTTGATATGTGTGTTCCTTAAGACTGGTTCTGGTTTAAGATTTTCTTTTTCTTTCTTTGGTTTTTAATGGTCCCTGGTCTTTCATTGGCGCTTGTGGCTTGTGCCCACATATTTACAGAGGACTTTTTGCTTTTGCTATAGCATAACGCAGAATTTTTTTACTAAGTGAAGATTTTAAATGTAACTACAAGTGGAGTTTGCAAAATATACGTAATTAGGCTTCAAAAAAATTTGTGAAACTCACATTTTTTAGTGGGCAACATCCATATGTGCCATCAGAAAGCATGCAGCATGTATCTTCTCCAGGGCAGGATGTCTTACTGTCTCCACAGAGAACATTAGGCTCAGATTTTCTGGCTGGTTCCTTCAACACCCAAGGGAGTGACTGTAGACCCGCATTACAGGTACCAGCAGAGGGATCACATGTGTAACCATTGGGGCAACAATGTATCTTGTCATCACAACATACAGCCTGAAAAAGTGGTTGAATATGTATTGTATACTATACACGCACATGGATATGGATGTATTTGTTTTGATTAATGCAGAAAATATATAATGATTTACTGAATTAATTGTTATACAAATCAGAAATATTGATTGATTGATATACAAGCACAGGCTGGTATCGAAAGATTTGTCCGCTGTGACGGAGCATGCTATTTTTCATAAAAACACTAATCTGCTTCACGATTTATTTTTAAACTCATATGTTTCGTTATCTCAAAGATAATTACTTACTCCATGCAATGGATATATCATTTGCGTGTAACCTTCACTTCTGTTTGAAGTCCAATAACGCTAGGAGTAAAATCTATTGAAAACGGCGCCAGAGTATCAAACTCTAAAATGTACCATTTCTTTTTTAACTTTTTAATGGCATGATATAGTGACACGATAATATTAACATATGTTTTCAGCATAAATCTGAATTAATAGTGAGATATCAATGCATTGGGTCTTTTTAATTTTTTTATAAAAAATAATATTAATATTTTTTGTCCGCTGTGACGGAGCATTTTCACAGTTCACATTTGCAACTGCTCCGTCACAGCGGACAAAAAAATTAAACATTATTTTTTATAAAAGAATTTAAAAGACCAAATACATCAACATCTCATTTATACCTTCATAGTTATGCTGAAACCATGTGTAAATATTATCGTGTCACTATATCGTGCCATTAGAAAGTTAAACAAGAAATGGTATATTTTGAAGTATGATACTCCGGCGCTATTTTCAATAGCTTTTCTTCCCAGCGTAATTGGACTTCAAACAGAAGTGAAAGTTACCCGCAAATGATATATCCATTGCATGGAGTAAGTAATTTTGTATGGTATAACGAAACATATGAGTTAAAAAATAAATCGTGAAGTATTCTTAGTGTTTTTATGAAAAATAGCATGCTCCGTCACAGCGGACAAATATTTTGATACCAGCCTGTGATAAGTGGAAAACTAGAAAATGAAATGACTGAAATAATTCCAAGAATACACAACAGCCTTTCATACAAGTTATGGGCCACTTAGGTAATAGTTTTAATTATTGTGGAACTTGAAGAGTTATTAAACTTGAAAACTCACTGAAGGTAGTGGACAGCATCCATATTGGCCAGTCTTCTGGTGACAACATGTGTTTCCACTAGGACATTCTGACTGTCCATCTGGGCATTTAACACTCTGCCCGACTATTTCAACATCTTCTGGAATGTTCTGCTCTTGTGTGATTTCAACAACAGCTTGATTTACGTCTGCTTCAAGGGGGAATGCTTCGAGTTTATTGAACCATGGAAGGGTTTTGTCAGCTTTGGAGCATGTGGCTGAGGCGGTGTTACACTTGTAACCTGCTGGGCAGCAATGTTGACGATCTAGACAACATATAGCCTGAAAATCAAACAATTAAGAAATAAGGCAAAATGTCACCACCTGCAAATGGTTACAAAAATGTAACAATTATTACATATACTCCTCAATAAAAGTTAAGGACCAGTCTTTTTCTCATAGGTTTACATGTTAAACCCCATGTATGTTTAAACTCTAATTTTCAAAGCCTGAAACGAAAGAAAAACTGATAATATAAATGGATATGTACCTTGACTCTATTCTCTATATTCCAGAAAATTTTCAATTCAATCTCTCCATTACAATGTGTCATAAATTGATGTCAAATTTGAAGGAATTTAATAAAATAGCAAACCCATGTAAACCAGTGGGAAATGGTTGGGTTGCCAAAAGTCATCCATTCAAATGCTCTCAAAAATGGAATTTAAATAGACAATTGAATTTGCTAACTTGTCTACAACAAAAAATTGATTTATTTCTCCAGGTTTTACAAAGTTATGAGTCTCAGAAGTCAAAATCATTTCTCAATAAACCTCTCATTGAAATAACACAGGGGGACAAAAATGAGTTATTGAAAATATGTTAATGCTCTATATTGGTAATTCTCACAAAGTTAACTAACACCAAGCATGCAGAAAGAAAAACAATTCAATTGTCTACTCAGAAATTATTTTTAATAAATGTTTTACAGCATAGATATCCAAAAGTCTGATTTGCCCCTAATGCACCAATACCCATTGGTTAACATGGGGTCTGTCAATTTTTTAATTCCTCAAATTCGACATCAGTTTTAAATATATTGTAATAGAGAGATTAAATTGAAAATTTCCTGAAATATAGAGAATAGAGTCAAGGTACATCCATTTACATTATCAGTTTTCTTTCGTTTGGGGCTTAGAAAATAAAGTTTTAAGATACATGGGGTTTAACATGTAAACCTATGAGGAAAAAGACTGGTCCTTAACTCTTTTGAGGAGTTTATGTTAACACTGTTTGTGATCTAGTTCAATAACCTTGACCTTGAAAATTTTACTTTTTCTCAGAAGGTATTTTTGATTAAAGTGACTTCAAATTGGGTCCAATAACTCTATTTTGAAAATCAACTTTTTTAACCTTTTGAAGGTCAAATCTAAATTCAGATTTGAACTTCTGAGAACTTGTAGATGATTTTTCAATATGAAGTAAGTTGAAAAAAGACCTTTTTACCATAACAGAAATGGCAGAAGTGTGTTCGAGCTTATAACGTGCTTACATATGTTGACAATAAGAATTTGAAGTCGGCCTAAACAGTACTTGCTAAGTTTTTTAAGTTGTGAAAATTTGTTACTGATGCTGAATACCAAATAAAATAAGGTTTCACATATCACATTTTGATAACAATGGGTAAGACTAGAAGAGTGGTTTAAACTTTATATAGGGCCTCATAGATTTTGATATTTGTTAAGTGTATTCATATGTCATTAAATTCTATGTTGAATTCATGGAACAATCCCCATGGTCCATTCTTCAAATTGTCTTCAAACTATTTCTTACCTTTGGCAATGGACAACAACCATACTGTCCAGTCTTCAACAGGCAGCATGTGTTACCATCTTGGCATCCTTGTTTCCCCCCAGGGCATTTCACAACTTTAGATTCTACTGGATTCGCTTCAACTTTAGTGAACCACTCTGTAACACTGTTGCCAAGGTTACATTGTCCTGCGGATACACCACAAGTTGTTCCTGAGGGACAACAATGTAAACCATCTGAGCAGCAAACAGCCTGGAATTAGTCAAAGATATTTCTGGATGACAAATCTCCCAAAATGTTGATAAAAAGTAAACTAGATTGACAACTACCACGGTGTAGCACATCCAAAGAACCAAACATTCATGAAGCTGTATACTGATGTATCATAATATAATATTTGCCATCTAGTCTACCTTGGCTCCAGCTAACAAAAGACAGATATTTGAGATATATCAGATTTTCCAGCAAATCACAAATCATAGTGGCAATACAATATTTGCAATATAATGTAGTTATTACATGTAAGTAAGCACACTTTGAAGAGAGCTTTAAATGATAGCGAATTCCCACTTGAGGAAGCCATATTGAATTTTCTGAGGCATGAATCATAAAAACAATATATAACATCCCACAACTTATAGACATCCCACATAAGGCTGCCATTTCAGGTGGTCATTTGAAAGATCTCAAAAATTTAAGGTGGGGCACAAAGGACAACATACTGAAAACACAAATCATAAAATAACCCCTAATAATAAAACATATGATAAAATGAACCTTGTTAAATGTGTTCTCAACAATAGTACCATGATCACTCGTATTATGTATACTGTAACTTTAACCTACAAATTCAACCTAGATACTAAATTGTCAAAACACCATTAAAGATACGGTAGAATACAAAGAGCAACAGTTGAAATTACAAAATCTAAACTCAAGCTAAATCTAGTAATGACTTTCTATTGCATTATATTTTTATATGGCATTGTCAAAGAAGTTAAAACATGATAGATGACAAAATGCTGTTAATTTATTTCAAATGAACACTTGACAAACAAATGACTAGCGAAACATATTTTTTTGATTATCAGGCTCATTGCTTTCATACCACATGTTCTAATAGTATACCCCATGAACAGATTTTTGAAAAACATATTTTAAGTTACCTGTGATTTAATTGCTATAATGCAAATAACACATATTTTCTAACACATATCTTGTTATCATTGAAAAATGAAAAGATGTCTGTTTGGAGGTTTGAACATGGTGCTTAGAATTATCTATGGGAACCAGGGTTGGATGTCTCTGTGGCTTGATACGTTGACACATTCGTTATTGTAAATGACATTCATTTGATGCTTTTTTGATTTTTATTATACAGATAGGACTATTATATTCTCTTCAAACTGTGTCTTATTTTTGGCTATGAAGTAGTTTTGTAGTAGTTACTAAATGAACAATGTCTTACATTTGGTAATGGACAGCACCCATACTGTCCAGATGAAAGTTTGCAACATGTGCTGCCATTAGGGCATGTGGCTGTACCACCAGGGCATTCCACATCTTTAGACTTTACTTGCTGAGCCTCAACTTTAGTGAACCACTCTGTAAAACTGTTGCCACGGTTACATTTTCCTGCTGATACATCACAAGTTGTTCCTGATGGGCAACAATGGACTCCATCAGAGCAGCAAACAGCCTAGAAGTGGAAAATACATATAAATGTATAGCCAAATACTGAGAAACATTGAACGTAGTATCTGAATTAAATTTATTTTCAAACTATCCTCTTCAATTAATACCTTACCTTTGGTAAAGGACAGCAACCGTACTGTCCAGATGAAAGTTTACAACATGTGCTGCCATCAGGACATTGGGATGCACCACCACCACATATGACTGTTTTGGATTCTACTGGCTGAGCTTCAACTTTAGTGAACCACTCTGTAAAACTGTTGCCACGGTTACATTTTCCTGCTGACACATCACAAGTTGTTCCTGATGGGCAACAATGGACGCCATCAGAGCAGCAAACAGCCTTAAAGTGGAAAATACATATAAATGTATAGCCAAATACTGAGAAATATTGAATGTAGTATCTGAATTAAATTTATTTCCAAACTATCCTCTTCAAATAATACCTTACCTTTGGTAAAGGACAGCAACCGTACTGTCCAGATGAAAGTTTACAACATGTGCTGCCATCGGGACATTGAGATGCACCACCACCACATATGACTGTTTTGGATTCTACTGCCTGAGCATCAACTTTAGTGAACCACTCTGTAAAACTGTTGCCACGGTTACATTTTCCTGCTGATACATCACAAGTTGTTCCTGATGGGCAACAATGAACGCCATCAGAGCAGCAAACAGCCTTGAAGTGAAAATATATGTAAAAATATAGCCATATAAATGTAGTGAGAAATATTAAAGGTATCGTCTGAATTAAATTTATTTCCAAATACAAATTATACCTTACCTTTGGTAAAGGACAGCAACCATACTGTCCAGATGAAAGTTTACAACATGTGCTGCCATCGGGACATTGGGATGCACCACCGCCACATATGACTGTTTTGGATTCCACTGGCTGAGCTTCAAGTTTAGTGAACCACTCTGTAAAACTGTTGCCACGGTTACATTTTCCTGCTGACACATCACAAGTTGTTCCTGATGGGCAACAATGGACGCCATCAGAGCAGCACACAGCCTTGAAGTGGAAAATACATATAAATGTATAGCCAAATACTGAGAAATATTGAATGTAGTATCTGAATTAAATTTATTTCCAAACTATCCTCTTCAAATACTACCTTACCTTTGGTAAAGGACAGCAACCGTACTGTCCAGATGAAAGTTTACAACATGTGCTGCCATCGGGACATTGGGATGCACCACCACCACATATGACTGTTTTGGATTCTACTGGCTGAGCTTCAACTTTAGTGAACCACTCTGTAAAACTGTTGCCACGGTTACATTTTCCTGCTGACACATCACAAGTTGTTCCCGAGGGACAACAATGGACGCCATCAGAGCAGCAAACAGCCTTGAAGTGAAAATATATGTACAGTAGAACCTGACATGTTAAAGTACAATCCTATAGTGGACACCTACCAACTATGAACAGTGAACAGATTTTTCGCAGATTTTCTGCAACTGCCTTATCATAGTTAAGCAGTTTATGTTTATATTACCTGCCAAAAATAATTAAAAGGTCAATTTGAGATCTTGATCTCTTCTTCTATTGAAACAGGTGTGACTAATTATAATTCTTAATAAGCTTTGTTTTTGTAAAACAGGATATGCATCTGGGATTGATTGCTTGGAGATAATCTGGTTATTAACTATTATTACCTCTATCTGCTAAATCCCAACTAAATCTTTTTTCTCATCCCGTCAATTAAAAAAAAAGATTGGATTAAAATTATAAATTCATCATTTCACTATTAACTGCATCTATCATTTCCTTTATCTAATTCAATAAAGTCCTTTAAGTGACTCAAATGTCTCAAAGATTCCACTGTTTAAAGGACCATCTTGATGAGATAAAAAGAATTATAAAGAGATTAAAATTTGACAATAAAAGGATGAACCATTCAGATGACAGTCAGTCTAAAATAAGTCAGTTTGTATATAACATGACAACAAATCAAATACTTAACGCTAGAGTGCCATGGGTTAATATGGGTAGAAAATACAAATTAAATTGATTATTCCCTCCTCTCTTTTAATAGCTGGTCTCTTTATATAATACGGTAAAATGCCGCGAAATCAAATCATTGCTGTAGTGAACACCTACCAACAGTGAACATTTTTTCTTGGCAAAAAACTGTTCACTATACGCAGGTTTTACTGTAAATGAATAGCCATATAAATGTAGTGAGAAATATTAACAGTAGGGTCTGAATTAAATTTATTTCAAAATTCAAATAATACCTTACCTTTGGTAAAGGACAGCAACCGTACTGTCCAGATGAAAGTTTACAACATGTGCTGCCATCGGGACATTGGGATGCACCACCACCACATATGACTGTTTTGGATTCTACTGGCTGAGCTTCAACTTTAGTGAACCACTCTGTAAAACTGTTGCCACGGTTACATTTTCCTGCTGACACATCACAAGTTGTTCCTGATGGGCAACAATGGACGCCATCAGAGCAGCAAACAGCCTTGAAGTGAAAATATATGTAAATGTATAGCCATATGAATGTAGTGAGAAATATTAAAGGTAGGATCTGAATTAAATTTATTTCAAAATTCAATTAATACCTTACCTTTGGTAAAGGACAGCAACCGTACTGTCCAGATGAAAGTTTACAACATGTGCTGCCATCGGGACATTGAGATGCACCACCACCACATATGACTGTTTTGGATTCTACTGCCTGAGCATCAACTTTAGTGAACCACTCTGTAAAACTGTTGCCACGGTTACATTTTCCTGCTGATACATCACAAGTTGTTCCTGATGGGCAACAATGGACGCCATCTGAGCAGCAAACAGCCTTGAAGTGAAAATATATGTAAATGAATAGCCATATAAATGTAGTGAGAAACATTAAAGGTAGGATCTGAAATAAATTTATTTCAAAATTCAAATTATACCTTACCTTTGGTAATGGACAGCAACCATACTGTCCAGATGAAAGTTTACAACATGTGCTGCCATCGGGACATTGGGATGCACCACCGCCACATATGACTGTTTTGGATTCTACTGGCTGAGCTTCAACTTTAGTGAACCACTCTGTAAAACTGTTGCCACGGTTACATTTTCCTGCTGACACATCACAAGTTGTTCCTGATGGGCAACAATGGACGCCATCTGAGCAGCAAACAGCCTTGAAGTGAAAATGTATGTAAAAATATAGCCATATAAATGTAGTGAGAAACATTAAAGGTAGGATCTGAATTAAATTTATTTCAAAATTCAAATTATACCTTACCTTTGGTAATGGACAGCAACCATACTGTCCAGATGAAAGTTTACAACAAGTGCTGCCATCGGGACATTGGGATGCACCACCGCCACATATGACTGTTTTGGATTCTACTGCCTGAGCTTCAACTTTAGTGAACCACTCTGTAAAACTTTTGCCACGGTTACATTTTCCGGCTGATACATCACAAGTTGTTCCTGATGGGCAACAATGGACGCCATCAGAGCAGCAAACAGCCTTGAAGTGGAAAATACATATAAGTGTATAGCAAAATACTGAGAAATATTGAATGTAGTATCTGAATTAAATTTATTTCCAAACTATCCTCTTCAAATTATACCTTACCTTTGGTAAAGGGCAGCAACCATACTGTCCAGTTGAAAGTTTACAACATGTGCTGCCATCTGGACATTGGGATGCACCACCACCACATATGACTGTTTTGGATTCTACTGGCTGAGCTTCAACTTTAGTGAACCACTCTGTAAAACTGTTGCCACGGTTACATTTCCCGGCTGATACATCACAAGTTGTTCCTGATGGGCAACAATGGACGCCATCAGAGCAGCAAACAGCCTTGAAGTGAAGACAAATGTAAATGTATAGCCATATAAATGTAGTGAGAAATATTAAAGGTAGGATCTGAATTAAATTTATTTCAAAATTCAAATAATACCTTACCTTTGGTAAAGGACAGCAACCGTACTCTCCAGATGAAAGTTTACAACATGTGCTGCCATCGGGACATTGGGATGCACCACCACCACATATGACTGTTTTGGATTCTACTGGCTGAGCTTCAACTTTAGTGAACCACTCTGTAAAACTGTTGCCACGGTTACATTTTCCGGCTGATACATCACAAGTTGTTCCTGATGGGCAACAATGGACGCCATCAGAGCAGCAAACAGCCTTGAAGTGAAAATATATGTAAAGATAGTCAAATAATTTTGAGAAATATTAAAGTAAAACATTTCAATCTAATTATATAGATCCGTGTAGAAATAATCTTGATTTATATCATTAAATATTCAAAATTCAGTCAAGGTGATGTTATATTTGAAATCTACATGCAAAGGTACATCTAGAATTGTGGTTTTTGAAAAATGTTTATCAATTTTGAAAATTGAATATTTTTGGAAAATGTGACTTCTAGTTCGGGGTGGTTCCTCATAGACCCCATGTTATAAAATCAGAAAAAGTGATATATCTTTTCTAATAATGGACACATAATATTTTCTTACTGTACATATTTTAATTTGCATAACTGTTTTAGATACATAGGGGTGATATGAAAATTAAAACAAGAACACAAATGTGTACAAAATGTCCCCACCTATGGATTATCCCGTCAAATGGTTATCCTAAAAATGAGTAGACAAGACTTTAGCGACACAATTTGAGGATGGAAAATCCAAAATGGCCACCTTAAAATTTACCCAGAATGCCCAAAAATTAGTCAGTTCTAGATTTTCATACTAAGAACCACCCCTGAAAGACTTGAGGACAGAAAATCCAGAATGGCTGCCTTGACATTTATCCAGAATGCCAAAAAACTAATCTGTTCTAGATTTTCATACTAGGAATCATCCCTGAAAATTTGAAATTGATCTACCAATCGGTTCACCTGGAAATGCGTAGACAAGACTTTACAAACAAGATTTTAGGACAGAAAATCCAAAATGGCTGCCTTGACTGAAAATTTGAAATTGATCTACCAAACGGTTCACCTAAAAATGTGTAGACAAGACTTTACGGGCAAGATTTTAAGACGGAAAATCCAAAATCGCTGCCTTGGCATTTATCCAGAATGCCAAAAAACTAATCTGTTCTAGATTTTCATACTAAGAATCATCCCTGAGAATTTGAAATTGATCTACCAATCAGTTCACCTGGAAATACGTAGACAAGACTTTACAAACAAGATTTTAGGACAGAAAATCCAAAATGGCTGCCTTGACATTTACCCAGAATGCCCAAAAACTAATCAGATCTAGATTTTCATACTAAGAATCATCCCTGAAAATTTGAAATTGATCTACCAAACGGTTCACATGAAAACGCGTAGACAAGACTTTACAGACAAGATTTTAGGACGGAAAAATCTAAAATGGCCGACAATAAAAAAGTGATTATGAGTTTTTGCTGATTTCTTTTTACAAAATTATCACATGTAACTACTGTTAACAATAACATAGGCTTTTACAACAAAGTACACCTGAAATTATTTATAAAGCTACTAAATAGTATGAAAACTGAAAAACACCATTCAATATGATACAAACTATTATCGTGCGCTAACTTTTCTTTAAACATTCAAAATGGCTGACATGACTGAGCTAACAGGTCCAAAACCTAATCAGATCTAGAATTAAGTGAGCTGAACAAGATGTTAAAGTTTTAAAAGCAACTGTGAAGCCGTTTTTCTTAAAGTTTGCAGACAAGGATTTCAGCATTTGACTTCAAAATGGCCGACAGGAAGTAGGTATTGAGTTAATTTTTTTCATCCACATCTGTATGCACTCATAAGTTATCCCTGAAAATTTGAAGGTGATATCTGTAGCGGTTTTGGAGAAAACTGCCGGACGTACGGACAGACAGACACACCGACGGACAGACAGACGGACGCACCTAGGCCGACAATATGGCCCCACACTATGTGGTGGGGACATAATAATAATATTTAAGTTAACCGCCATGCTATCTGACTGGAATGAGCCACCTGGTGGTGAAACTGGTAACTACCTACTCGCATCTGAATTATTGATTTCTACATCTATACTATCTCCTTCAAACTACATGTATGTATGTCTCACCTTTGATAATGTACATGAACCATATTGTTGAGATATTTACAGAACCAGGACCATAATTCGAATTAAGTCCTTTTTAGAATCAGAAAGGCTCATGGGCTGGTGAAACAACCTGTCTATGATAAATGACATGTATGATACTTTGTTGAAGGTGTTTTAAACATATCTTACTTTTGGCATTGGGCAACATCCATATTGTCCAGATGAGAGTTTACAACATGTGCTGCCATCAGGACACATAGATGTACCTCCAGGGCACACTATGTTTTCTGCCATTACTTGAACTTCGTTATGAACCATTTCAGAGTCTATTTGAGCTCTTGAGATTTTTCTTTGTGTTTGTTGGGCCAGGGATTTCCTAGATGCTTTGAATGTCTCCCCATCCCTGGTACATGTACCCCCACTGCCACAAGTTGCCCCTTTTGGACAGCAGTGTAACTTGTCACTACAGCATTGCGCCTGGAATATAAATATAAGACTGAGAAACTACATATAGAAACAAATTCTTATAATTAAGTTACATTACCTGAAATGAGAATGTTTATGAAATACATGTTTTTATAATGAGGAAGTAGAATATGATAAAGATAAACCCATTGTAATTGAGCAAAAACTATAATTCAAAACGAAAACACAACACACTTGTTGAATTGTATGTTGAGTACACATACTATTGTAGCACTTGCTTTTACTAACTATCTTTTCTATTTCAAAACAGTCTTCAGAAAATCTGTTGATCTCACTGTAATTGTGAGTTTATACAATGCTTTTAACCAGATATGTCAACCTAGGTTGCCTGAACAAGACATTTAAAGAAATAAAACTCATAGCCAACATTCCCTATCAGGAACAAATTTTCAATCTTTCCAAAAGTTTCCAAAATGTACAAAAGTCAGATCAATATAAATCGATGAACCTCAAATAATTTTCTGGCTAATTGTAGTGCGTTGGACTTCTTATTGTCCTATACTTTTGTCCGAAAGGTAGGGGTTCGATTCCTGGCGTAGGCAATCTTTTTTATTTTTTTTATCACAACATATATTTATCCTTTCGGATCCTTTCCTCTACTGTCATTTCAACTTTATGCTACACTATTTGCTTAATGAAAGTAATTGCTAAACTACAAAACCCTCACCTCAGGCATTGGACAGCATCCCCAGTGTCCGGACTGCATCACACAGCATGTAGATCCATCAGGACATTGGTACTCTCCACTACCACATGATACAGAAGCCACCTGGTCTCTAGGTACAAAGTATAAAGGGTCAGCCAGAAGTGTGCCAACCAGGCTGGTCGTGAATAGTAACAACAGCCTCATAGCAGATGATACTGGAAGGCAAGAGAATAAAATATAGTTTGACATAGCTAGATCTGTACTTTTGAATTAGTTACCACAGCTTCACCCGAGGAATGAACTACACATGCCAATGATATGTCATTCGTTTTGGTGCAATCTGAATTTGACAACATATCATTTTGTTGAAGCATACAGTTTTTACTATGAAACATCAAGATATTTCATACAATCTATTTTTAAAAAAAAACATCCTATCCAATGATTAAAATAACCATACCAGTGATGATCCAATACAGAATTACTGAAAATGACACATATGTATCTCTAATACTCACTAATATCTTTAATATACAGGCTCATAGCCAGGATTTTCCAAGGGGAGTTCACCTTTCAAAAAAATTCCGAGGGGGTTCACAAATTTGGCCCAAAATCACATGAAAATGGTCAGATTGGTGAAAAACTGCATGATTTTGAAAGAACTTTAAGCCTGGGGGGGGGGGGGATGGATCCACCTGGCTATGGGACTGATATAGGTTTTCAATACAATTTAGATATATACATGTATGACAAACATGCCGCAATTCTCAGAAGTGATTATCAGATAGCAAGGGTTGTTCAGCAATTGTAATCTACATCTCCAAAATATGTTCATGCTCAGTTACAAGCTTGACAAAATCCTAATGGTTTTTCTGGCTTGTATGTACATGTTAAAGTAGGGTTTTTAAGGTTTAAAGGTTTTTATTATCATATTAGTCAATTCCTATTAACATACACAGCTAGGGCCGAGACAACGCAAAACAATTGACTGGAGAAGACCTGCAGTCATTTCAACAATTTTCTGATTTGTCAGACATGATAAAGATGATTCGCCATACAACATTGATATTACTGTACCTTTCCTGATCTTAGCCTTACAATGAGGGGGTATTCTGACTCTGCGCAAACGATTTTCATTACGCAATACATTATTATTTCTATATATAGAAAAAGCCTGGTGTACATAGGAAGGCATTTTTTGTTATTAATAACATCATATATAAATAATAATGATTTCTTTTCTTCTCTTCTGACAACTAGAGACCTCCACCCTAAGCATGAGGTGACTTTGCAATTGATTGCACTTGTCCCTTGGATACATCCACTCACAATTAATACTGAATTCTATCCAATTTAGAAAGTAAATTCAAATTTGCACAATCAAATATGATATTTCCATATTCTAAATGAGGAAGTATGAAAGCAATATAAATCTTCTCTAGATGTTTTGATTTAAAGTTATGCTTTAGTGGGCTCAACATCATGTTACATTTAACAATAATACGATTAATATGTTCTTCAAAATTTAAAGACTGGTCTAAAATAATTCCAAGATATTTATGACTTTACTTTAAGTAAATGGAATAGCGTCACCATTTAACACAACAGGAATTTGGGCAACTGGGGTTCTTAAATTAGACTGGAAATATACTTTTTTGCTTTTACTAGTCTTGAATTTTAATTTCCAAATCTTTGACCAGTTTTCTAACCAACATCTTGTTATACAGTATAGTTATGCCCACAGTCTAATTATATAGCTGGAAAATGTTATATTTATTTATTTATTTATTTATTATTTATTTATTTATTATTTAGACGTACACTTTTAAATCAGTGGCACACTAAAAATATTTAGGTGCGTCTACAGTCAAAATACATACATGATCATTAAAATATCTAAAATCGTTCTTATAAGTCAGGTTTAAAAATCTTTGTTAAAAACTGTTTTACCAGTCCATCTACAATATAAAATTGATCGTGCCCCCATTGACTGAGAACATCATCACCTAACATAAAAAAGAGTTTATTTTCGGAGGTACAGGATATAAAATAATTAAACACATTCTCATTGCATTTGTCTAGTAACTTACAATAGAAGTGTGTTCTTTCTTTGTTAAAGAAAGAACATTCTACAAGTCTGTGTTGGATAGAGTCATCTACATTATCTTTACATAATATGCATTTTCCATCTGTCTTTCTTTGTGATTCATAATTGGAATATAGAGCAAATTTGTTACATCTTGCTAAGAATTTGAGCTTTGATCCATAGAAGTCATTGTTTTGTTTCAGGTAGTTCTCTAAATCAGTGTGGAAGTGTGGCAGCATTATTATTTATCGAGCAAGGCAACAGCTGGAAGCATCCTTGGACATATAAAAGCATTAATCTTTTTCAAACAATTTTAAATATGCTGGTATTCTTAACCATTAACCAAACTTATAGTTTAATAGAAATAAGATACAAAAATATTCTGAAATCTGGAAATTCTCAATTAAAAATGAAAACATCGAAGTAAAACCAGGAATGGAGAGCCAGATATTTTGAAATGAAAATACTTTTTAAGTCCACTCTATACCACTGATTCAAGAGTAAATGTACATTGTACATGTACTACCTAAATGATGCAACTATCAGTGACCACTTAGAAGACATGAAGTCTTTATTTGAACCATGGGCTTTTCAATTCTAGTTGAAAGCCCATGTTTGAACTAAGTATCTTCAATATTCTTTGATAATTATTTGAAGAACAAACATTTCAACACAACTGACCACGCGATATATTGATTTGGCACATTGCTTCATCATCATGTGATAGCATAACAATGTTTTTATCAGTGAACATAAAGTCTACAAGATACCTAAGACAAGTGATTTATGTAAGGGAGTGATCACAAGTGTTGTACCTTAGTACTTAACAAGTTATTCTATTATTCTATTAAATATAGGAATCTTGTACCATTTTCAATAATATGATTTATCTGTTTTTAAAGAGATTCACCTCCATTTTTTATGATCTTTTGATCCAGCCTTACTAAATCAGATAGGTCAATCAAATTCCCTATCAGAATTACTCAGATGCGAGTTGGTAGTGACCAGTTTTGCCACCAGGTGGCTGATTCGGGGGAAATAACATGGCAGGGTATTACAAAATTCCCTAAACTTGAATATTCATCAGTTTTAGTGGTTCACTTTTCATATTACCCTAATGTATTTTACAATATGGGGGCTATGGAGAATCTCCCCGACCTAGAAGTCATATTTTCAAAGAAAATTAAATTTTTCGAAGTTGATAAACTCTTTTTAAAACCATATTTCTAGATGTAATTTTACATGTAGATTCCAATGAATACATGCGCAACATGTGATGCTCAATTTGGTACAAACAATTTAAATGAAAAATTCTGGAACAGATTATGCTGTCACTATCCAATAGTCCATTCTTATGTGTAATTCAGAAACAGATTATCTTGTCACACTACAATACAATAGTCCATTCTTATGTGTAATTCAGAAACAGATTATCTTGTCACTCTCTCATGGTCAATTATCATGTAAAATTGTGGAACAGATTATCTTTGTCACACTTGGTCTTGTGGTCAATTATTTTGTGGCTAGATATATCTCATCACTCTGGTTAGTGAAGAGGTTAACATGACAACATATCATCATTTGGAAAAGTGAGACAATCATAATAGATGCTGAACACTGATCACAAAAATGGTGGCCATGGCAATATGTCACCACATTTTAAAGCATTATGGGTTTTAGAGCTTCTTTGAAAGGGTGTCTTGAGAGAAAGAGGGGCTGGTAGGTATAAATGAGAATAAATTGCCTCATAGAGTCTTCAAAAAGTCAAATGCCATTGACACTTCTACTCTTGACACTCCTAAAACCACATGTTCTATCAAATGAAATGTTAGAACCAATCTTCTTGATTAACATGCCAGTGAGTGCCTTATGATTAGGGGTCTCACAATACATTATCTTTAATTTCGATACGAGCAACGATATTTACCACTATATTTACCTCGGTCCCTTGGGTAGATATAAAGTATTTCCCTCAGATATACCCTGTATCAAAACCATCCCATTAAATAACCTCTATATATCTCAAAGATGGGATATATTTCTAATGTAGCAAATATATTGTGTGCTCTTTATCTTATTGAGTATATATCATGTCTATTGTGTAAGATAATTTTAAGAACTAATCTCACAAGCTTCTGTGTTAGATCTGATATATACAGTATACCTCTAGGATAAGATAAATATCTCATAATAGCGGATATACTGTATGCACATTGATCTTAGATAGGATATATGGTGAATACCATGCAGATGATTGTGACTGATAGTTTGAAGAACTAAAACCTCTGTATTGAAGATATATTGATCGCTTTATAATCAAATATCTTGGTTAGAGGATACATGTATATGTCAATTTATATCAATGATATATATTGAATATATCACATGTGCCAATGAGAGACTGTATAGCGGTATATCGATATGAAACGATAGCCATTCCTGCCTCATTCTCCATTCATGGGGGTAAATACAACCAATCAAGTTCTCCAACTTTTCTATTACGTGATTTGATTTATGTTACAGTGGAAGCTGTGATAAATGTTTTACCTAACTCGGCAGATACATGTAGACGTCCTTGCTCTGGGATTTGTAGAAAAAACCGGGTACCGGGTAGTAAATCCTCCATGCTGGGTTCATACTTGGTACCCGGTACCCGGTACCCGGTTATCAAAAACCGGGTACCCAAAAAACGAAAAATACTTATATACAACATAATTAGATCATTAGAAAACGTGTAAGATTTGTTTTGAATATACAAAGATGTATGCAACTTCCCTCAAAATTGAGCCAGAAGCTTCAAATAAAAAGCATTTTAAGGCTCTTTTCTTCCTCTATCATCATGGTCATATTTTCATCGGTTATTAGGCCTGTCAACTGTCCCGCAATTTGCGTATTTGTCACGCATTTGCTGAAGAATTTGAAGTCACGCCAGAAAATGTCACGCAAATACGCATTTTACCTGGTATTGTCAAGCAATAATAATTCTGTAGAAAAAATTCTAAAACAGTTTGCCGATACAGCAAAAATACGAACACCAAAAAAAACGTACGCAATCCGTTCGGACTTTTCACGCGAATCACGTATATGTCACGCATTCCGTTCGAAATTTTTCATCACCTCTAATTTCAATAGTTTGTATGTTGGTACGTGAACAGTTTTGATTATGATTTAAATCTGTAAATAGCTATCGTTACTTTAGCAGAGAGGTGACGTGTGTTAATTTACATGATGCAACGTGTAAGATTTTGATTATTAATCATAATTTAAGTTATCCCAATTTTTGACGAAACGTCCACTGAAGTGTAAATTGTTACGTCTTACAATGTCATAGGCGATCGCACCCCACCCCATAACCTATGAAAATATGACCATGATGATAGAGGAACGAACCTTAAAATGCTTTTTATTTGAAGCTTCTAGCTCAATTTTGAAGGAAGTTACATACATTTTTGTATATTCAAAACAAATCTTACACGTTTTCTAATGATCTAAATATGTTATATAATCGTATTTTTCGTTTTTTGGGTACCCAGTTTTTTTGACCGGGTACCGGGTACCAAGTTTGAACCCAGCATGGAGGATTTACTACCCGGTACCTGGTTTTTTCTACAAACCCCCTTGCTCTGCTACAGAAGTCACTCTCTGTGACAGAAGTTCGGTCCCTACCCTCGTCAAGACGATTTTTCAAATCTTGAAAATTGTGAATCTACTGTATCGGAATTTATGATAATAAAATTGACTGAAAAACTATGATTTGTTTGACTTGCTGGAGACATCCCGTGCCAGTAGTGTATAGTCCTGGCACGGATAAGCAGACCACTACAGTGGGGGACAAAAATAAAACTCAACGTTCACAAGTTGTCTCAATGAGCTAATTTCCAAGTTTCGTGTCTCAAACTCTCCCAAGCGGTAGAAAAATAATTCCCGTTCACTAAAGTAGCACAATTAATGAATTCAAAGCTTCATACCTGCAAATAATGGATAAATCCCTACCAAGTCGAATGAATGATTTCATGAATCGCCATGTTTGTTATCCAAGGACGGTTGACTCCCAGAATGCAACATCAGTTAACCGTATTTACTCATGACAGGTTTCAAAATGGCGGAACAGCATTTGAAAGCTGGCACGTGTCATGTTGCATTCTGGGAGCCAATCCTCCGTTCCGGCGCAGTCGGGCGACAAAATCACCTCAACATTTGAAGAGTCGGCATAACATGCGAATATCCACTTCAACTTTTGAAGTTCTTATTTGTCATTAGGGACACAAATTCCACTATATTTGGACTTACTAAGACGGAGAAAATAGAGCACTGAATACACTGAGGTAACAATTTATTACATGTGCGACAGCATGTAATTTTCATAGCTTGTGCAATTCTTTATGATCCCCACTGTAGTCTCAATCAGTCAAAAATAAAAAAAATCGTTTTTCAATTTTATTTGACACACAATCAGTGGGGTCAGCTATTCGAATCACTATGGGAATTGGCGGTGTTCATAAAATGAATTCAACAAAAACTTACCTTGATTCGTATTGTAAGATAACGTCTTCAAAATCTAATGCTTGTCCCCGATTTCTTCTCCCGTTGTTTTGTATCAGCCGGTCATAAGCCCCGGTCATGTGAGATAAGTCATGTGACTTCAAACAAAAAATATTTCAATAGATCCATTGAATCTAATGTGACTCTCTAGTTTTTAAATTTTAATACTCCGATACCTGATTATTTATTACCTGTCTGATGATATTAGATATAAAGAATGAAAAAAAGAACACTTTGTTTTTATTTGGTATTGTTGTAAGCTGTTTCAAGATTGGGGCCCTATGATTGGCAGCCAACATCAGATGGAAATGTTTATTTATTTTTAATGATAAAGATGGATAACTCTGCATATATGTATATCAAAATCATCAATTTTTCTTGAAGATTAAATGTACTATACGTAGACTATTCTTTACATAATCATATATTATAATTTTTCTACAAAGATATATTTATTCTAAACTTCGTGGTGTTAGACAGCCTTCGAAACTCGAAAGATTACAAAAACTAAAAAAAATAAAAATCATGCATTTTGCAATTGTTTTGGCAGTTATTCTGCCTCTATCGTTCATCCTTTGGGTGATCAGTGTATGTGTTCACAGTCTAAGTAGTAGAGGAAGTATGGGTATGTGAAAGTATTACATTGTTATTGCATGTTGGCCTCGTATCCTGCAAGGATCAAGAGGTCAAGAAAGTCTCGGCCTAGCCTGCAGCCTGTAGTACAGGCTAGGCTATTTTTGAAAATAAAATCGACACACTTCTTTATCATTGATAGATGCATAGGTGCACCTGTAGGGTCTTTATTTATAAATCTGATATAGATGGTGACCCTACAGCTGTACTGCATGTCCCACTATACAAAAATGGCAATTCTGAGCCTGTCAAAAACTAATGATATGTTTTTTTGCTTTTTCCCAGAGCTTCTTTTGCTTTTCTTCAAAGATTTATCTTTTTCCTGCTAAACCATATTATTTCTATCAAATAATGAATAAACTTATGAAACGAATCTGTTGACCTATGCTAAAATATAAACTAATGATATGTTTTTTTGCTTTTTCCCAGAGCTTCTTTTGCTTTTCTTCAAAGATTTATCTTTTTCCTGCTAAACCATATTATTTCTATCAAATAATGAATAAACTTATGAAACGAATCTGTTGACCTATGCTAAAATACACCTAGGTTTCTCCCCGGATTTCACTAAGTGCCACCTGGTTAATACAGTCATATTGCACCCTGTAAACAATGAAAGAGAATCTAGTTTCAAAAACAAATATAAAGTTTTACATAAAAAATAGTTTTTTCCCAAAAACTATGACAAAGAAGGTTAGAGAATAAATGAGTGAAAAGTGGGCACCTAGGTGTACTCTAGCTAACCCCCCTATTTCCTGCGAGATCTCATGAGTAAATTAGGAAAAGTGCCACCATTGAAATTTCCAACACTTATCGTGAACTTTTGTACAATACCTTGAAAATGACAAAGTCTAGAATCCCAAAGGTATGGAAATCTTTTGCATCAATCATGTGTGTATTGATTGGAATTAAAGAATCACATGGGATACTCAGAGAATCTAAGCAATCAACTAAGTTGATGCTACATTTCAATTTTCTGAGTTTTGTTAAAATAAGAATAGCTGGAGCCCTGCCCAGTCCATTTTTGGCAACAATTTTAGATTGGCATCAGATATTCTTTATACTCGTACACATGTTACAGATTTACAGCTGATTTAGAATCTGATGGGTGACCATTAAAAATTATAAATTTTGTCATTTCACAGTCATTTCAGGAAAACTGTTCATAGAATTTTTTTCAAATTTTTTCTTCAAATCTATTTGGTGGTGTGATGTTGTCATATTGAACCTAATACTCATGAAATGTCTGTATGATTTATGATAATTTTAGGAAATACATGAACACAATTTGCTTTACAGATGTGTGGTCACCTATATCCCCTTGGCGCTGGTTATTTGCAATCCTACTGCCAATCCTGATTACAAGAAGTGCATTTCAGAAGCGAAGTTTGAATCGGTCTGGTGCAATTATAGGTAAGTGTAAATAGGAAAAGTGTAAAATGTTGAAAGCAATCTTTTCAAAAAGCATGCTATTGTTTCCCTTAAAATCATAATTCTTTTTTGGGGAAAAAAGAATCGAGATAATTGATTAAAATATTTAAGTCATTTGTTGTGATTGTATCTTCCTAGGCCTAAAAATTACCATATAATAAAGTGTGTATTTTTGTATCAAAATCTTCCTGAGATTATTCTGCTTCATAATCAGGCATAAAAATGGTTGTCACTGACTTTGTTTTTTACTCAAAGCTGGAAAACAAATGTTACATCAGAGACAATGTATTTTGTGAGTACATGTATTGTTCAATGTTTGGTAGCGATATTTTGCATCTGTTATTTATTTATGATACATAGTATATGTTCTAAAACTATACCAATCATTTTTTCTAAGAAATTGCCCCTTTCCCTAAAATACACAGCTACTACCTGCTTTTGTAAATGTCGCAAAAACACTACATCAACATTTAGCTTATTATAGGAATAGTATATGTACTGTATTGCAAATGAATAAGTATGTGCAAATACAGTTGAGAATTAAAGAAAGTAGTCAGTCATGGGATTTGTACCACCAACCTTTCGCCTAGCTATTTCCAGCATTAGAAACATCTATTCTCTATTTTTTGAATGGTAGATAGAGCATTAAATAAGGATGACCCACCTTTTCAAAACAACTGTCAGGTTATCTTGAATATGTAAAAAAAATATGACCGTTTGTTCAAACTTACTCTCAATCTATTTCAGAAATGCATATTTCTGCACTTTATTTTATTGTTATCGGGACCACTAAACATTTAGCTGCGTTGTCCATTTATACAACTTTATATTCTCGGTCTGCTAATGAACAGTACATGTATGTGCAGTATTGTATTGAAGAAACTATAAGCACTAAATGAGAATATTACTGGTATGTTTTGCAGGTTTGTTTGTGGGATTTGTTATGACACTTACCAACTACTGCTTTTTTGCTGCATTATTGGCATTTTTTCTCTCCGGTTCCAAAGCTACAAAATTCAGGCAAGACAAGAAGAAAAAATTGGAAGCAGATTTTAAAGAAGGTAAAGAAGTTTTAGAGTTTTTATGTCATTACCAAAAGTGGTGGCATATTCTTATGGTGTCCAACTTCAAATTTGACTTTAGATTTGACCTTCAATAACTTTATCAAGGTAACAAAAGGTCAAGAAGTATTTTTCAACTTGCTTCAAAGTGACTTTTGTGAGCAACTAGGTCATGCATTTTGCACAGTTGACATTAAAATTGAAAATAAAGGAAATAAAAAGTGATTATTCATGAGAACATTCATTCATCAAATTATTCAATGATAGTCTGTTTTTAATGATCCCATGTACCGTACATCATATTATTGTAAAAATATGCTGTTACTTCATTCTGATATTGCAAATAAGCCATTCTTGGCAAGAAAAAATTGCCATAAATGAAATTTCCGGAGATTTTTGAATTCTTTCATTATAGGCGCTTATTAGAATGGTCTGGAAGAAGAATTTTTAATTTTCTAAATGCCCAGGCATTAATTACGTTATAAGGAATTGAATCAAATAATCGTAACAATTAGAATCTAATGACATGTGATGTTTTTCATGTTGTAGGTGGTCAGCGTAACTGGGTGCAAGTTTTATGCAATGGTGGGATAGCAACAGAGATTGCAATTATACACCTAATAGAGCATGGTACTGGAGAATTTCCCATAAACTTCTCAAGGCTCTATCTCTCCTCTTGGCAAGCGATGGCTGTCCTTGGCGCTCTAGCGTGTAGCTGTGGAGATACCTGGGCCTCTGAAATAGGCAATGTCGTAGACTTTGGCCAACCTCGTCTCATAACCTCATTCTCTACTGTTCCTAAAGGTAATTAGATAAAACTGCTGTATATTCAAATATAAATGATCCAGAAATCTTAAAAATTTTTTAGCCAATATAGTTTTTCTGCTTGTTTCTAGTCTTTTATATCCATTGCTCTAATTTCTTTGACTGTCTCATTTATTTCACAATTTGATTCTGAAACATTACTTCAAACAGATTGTCTACACACGATGATCATGCAATCCTGCAAATTCTACATTATTAAAACATTTTTGTCCTAGGTACTAATGGTGGTGTGACACTAGTTGGCACACTAGCCAGTGCATTAGGTGGAGCGACAGTGGGATTAGCCTACTACATGGCCCTAGTATTGATGCTCAGTGAAAGCCAGCTATACAACTGTCCACCCCAGTGGCCAATAGTGCTAGTGGGAGCAGCAGCTGGTCTAATTGGGTCTGCCATCGACTCAATATTAGGTGCTATGTTCCAGTATTCAGGTCAGTTCACCTTAGCCTTATGATATGCCACTTAATCTTTAGTTAAGAATCAAAGTAAATAGGCCTTTATTTCATATTAAAGGAATACATTTTATAAATTAATAGCATTAAAACAGAGATCACCATTATACAATATCACCTTATATTATATTTAAATTCATGTTGAATCTTTGAGCCTTGACAAGTCAAAATTATTAGACCATGTCTTTATTACTATGTAATACAGTACTTTGTATTATGCAGTACTGTATATTGTGTAATACTGTACTTTAAGATATTGTAATGCTATTTCAGGGTACTGTAAAACCAAGCAGTGTATTGTAGAATATCCAGGAGATGATGTAGAATATATCAGTGGATCTCCAATATTTGACAATCATAGCATAAACCTATTGTCAGGGCTTATAACAGGTATGCTTACCCCTTCAGTGGCATTCCAAATATTTGGATATATCCTGCATGGACGTGGATAACATCTTTGGCTGCATTATTTACAGGGTGTCCCAAAAATTGTACCAAGACAAACATGGAATAACTACTTGAGCAATGAAGAAATATTTTTGAAATTCGATCATTTGACAGACAATTTGATGTTCATAAAGATCTGAATGTTTCACTTGGTAACTTTATTTTGTGTTAGTGAAAAGTTTTCCATGTTGTACAGACACAAACTAAAATGTGAGTGCAATGAAGGATCTAGGAGTATTTTTGAAATCTTTTCTTTTGGCAGACAATTTGATTATCATAAAATCTGTAAGTTTTACCAGGTAATTCTGTTTAGTTTTAGAGGAAAGCTCGTTTTACCCCAATTTAAATTTTTCAGTAAGTAACAGCATTTTTTTCATTGGAAAATGAATTCTATGAATCATGTGAAAACTTCAGCTTTTTAAAATGAAGGAAAATGAGTTTTTTGCCATTTAATTTGGGTACAATGTTTGGGACACCCTGTATATTAATACACAGGGTACATACACAGGGTCAGGGACTGCCTGCTGCCCCCACATCCACAACATGAAAAATCATTACATTATTCATTTAACCTGGAAAATTACTAGTAATACATGTAGTAAGATTTATATTGGGAAAGGTCATCCTGAAAATGCATTCAGAATGCATTGTCTTTAAAATATGTACATTATGTCTAAATGTAGGGAGCTTTCAATGTTGTGGAGGGGGCATTCACTTTTCCACATCCTATTTACATGAATCCTGCGTGAATCCCGGTTCCAGCTGGCCTCAAATTAAGGCTGTTACGATATTATACGATAATGATATTTGGAAATAATATCTCAACCTGTCTGTTTCCTTCTTGTTTTCCATTCCTTTGCCTTCTTTCTGAAGCACAATGCAATTTAAACTATAGTTGATTCAGGTTCTCTAATAATAAGCCCCTTTGTTGTGAATGGCAAATGGAGAGATATCAAAATAAGTTTCAAAATTATACCCATGGGCATTTATTTTAAAGGAGATACTATCTCAAACATATGGACCAATGTTCAATGTTTAACCCTCAGTGGACTCTTCATTGAAAGTATTAATTACAGGGGAAAACATTATTACAATTAAATCCAATGCAGACTGTGCTTTGCGAAAACAACCAGTGCATATTATGTGTGATTGTGCAGATTTAAATGGTAACACCGGCTGAAATTTATGGGTTAAAACATATCCGATAAATGTTTCCCCTGTTTTTTTTATAGAATCGCACAGAAAGTTAATGATGCAAAAAACAATTTTTACCAATAGGTCTTCTCGATCACCAATACTGAATGAAGGTTGTACATGGTATATAAAAGTGGGAATTTCAAATTCTATACGTTGGAGAGAGGTTTAATGCTTAGTGCGTTGTTATAGAATAAAGTGCATACCTATTGACACAATTTCCTTATTATTAGGTATCATCTGCACATATTAGTATTTCAGTACCCAACATGCCTTTTAATGAAATATCACAAATACAAAAATGACTGTTAAATTCTGTACTGCACACACATAAATCCGCACCGATTGTTTTTGTATAGCACAGTCTGCATAGGGTGAATATTGGATTTTACTTTTATTTTAAGCACGCAAGGCTTATTATTATTAGTTGAAAACACGCACAATAGATGTTCATTTGGAAAAGTTTGCTCAAAAAGTAGGCGTTATAGTATATTTTTTCTACATATAGTATTTATGTAAATAATGATTTTTCATTTAATGAAATGTAATGTACCATATGGTGCAGTGCCTTCACTGTGGTATAATTGCTTATTTGAGGACAATCTTTGGCTACAAAGCAGTCACAGATGAATTATCTCCTCACTTAATTGGGTGCATTTACCACTAATCACAAAGACAATTTGTGCTTCCATTGGGCATTTTAGCCCATTGGAGTTAACTGTACATGACATATGCAGTTATTTACTTGGAAAGTAAAATAGTTGACTAGATGCATCCTCTGAACATAGGCCTCCAGAACTCAGACCTCATATTCCCAAGAAGGAAGTGAATGATGTCTGGATGTCTAGAGCCCTGCCCAGAGGATGACAAGATGTTGATATGGTAAAGTGAACCATATATGTTTTTCAATGCAAATGTAGATTTTATTTAGTACATGTAGATGTATTAACAATGCTGCAATACGTAACATGTAAAGGTGCATTAAGTTACCTTATTGGTCTGATTGGATTATTTAGTAAACTTTTAAAGTACCTTATAAACATGTGACAATTTCAAAACCTATGAAAACCTATCACAAGGTATCATAAGTGTTACCATGGTAACATAAGGAAGCTATGTACCCGGTGAAGCAAAAACATACTCTTAGCTTGTATTGGCGAATGCAACTTTCAGCTAGCACCTACCTGGTTGATTGCAATTTGATGGTAGACTCATTAAGATATAAATAGTACCTGCCACGTATCCTGGAAGTTGCAAGCTATCGCATCAAACCCAATTGGTGACCTTAACAACGGGTTAATCTGCCTATTTACCAGAAAGTAACAATGACCTACAATCTGTTTGCTTATTTAATCGAGCAGCTTTATTATAATTGATTGTTACAGTGGCATAAAGAATCATGCAATCACTGATCACTGATCACTGTTCATCAACTAAGCCATTCTTCATTAAATCAACTTCAAAATGAAGTTAACAGGTTAGTCTGGTAGCCATCAGCTGAAAGTTGCATTTGCGAATACAAGCTTAATGCTTTCTGAAGCTAATTTGTATTTATGTTGTATTTATGTTGAATGTAATGTTAATTTAAATCCAAAAAGTGCCTAGTACTGACATACTATTCCAGTACTATGTAGAAATACAAATGCTGGTATTTGGAAATCTCTGTATTGTCTGCACTTAAAAATAATATAGATAAAAAAGATGGGTGTTTGCCTCTGTGTAATGGTTAGCATTTTGGTTTCCTAATCGCCCAATTCTAGCATCTGGGACAGGGTCTAGCTCATTAACTAGAACATTAGAGAGGTGATTTCTAGAGTGCCTGCACTGGCTAGAAACTTACTGCCTATGGTCCTAGCCATGGGGTCATTAACAGAAACTTAGTAAAGTTACGAATTCGTAAATCAGTTGTTGTAACCATGGTTATAATGATGTCACAGTTAGAGAACAATGGGTTTTACGAATTCCTAACTTTATGAAGCTTCTGTTAATGGCCCCAGGATAAAGATACCTGAGTTTCTTTCAGATTAATACAAAGAACTGTTTCAAACCGAAAACTTGATGATGCTTTATCCAAAACCTGTTTGTCCATTGAAAATATTTCATAATCATGGATAAATACTTAATAGTGTTTTTATGTCATGGTGACTTTTTGTTATAGTCTACAATTTTTTCATGGATGGTATTCGGTGGTTCAGCATTTGCAACAAATTCTTATATCTTCCAATAACTTAAGTTCTCTTTAGACTGACATCAAATTATTACTGTGAACATAAATAAACATATGCGTTCCAACATGTTTCTGCCAATAGCAGAATGGCAACAAATAAGTGGACTTGTAATATTTTATAACCATTTGCAATAATTTAAGAAGTAGCATTCAAACATTTTTTCATGTTAAGTAATGCCTCGTGTGTTAATGTAATAATTTGCTTTATTTTGTTATAATGTGTTAAGAAAGTATCTTTAAAGCCCTAAATACACTAGCAGGCAAAATGCTTGAAATGAAGGTGAAACAACCAAACTGCTTGAAATGAAAGTGAAATCGATTGAAATGCTTCAAATGGCAAAACAGGCGCAAGCAGCAAAAATGTTATTTTATTTTCAAAGATGTACAGATTGAAATTTGAACGGTTGAAAAGTCAGGGAAAATGTTTAAAACTAGTAACTTTTATGTTCTTATTTCACTTTTTTCCTTTTGTCGTGTTATTGAAATGCTCGAAATGGCGAAACAGGTGCAAGCAACAAAATTTTAATTTTTGAAAGTATATTCATTGAAACTAACATCAACCATGGGGAAGTTGTCTTGTCTGGGATATGTCATCATAAGTTATGTTATGTTATATTATATATTTGCTGTAAATGGGTTATTAGCCTTTTGCAAATTATTAATGTAGATGTAGAACTGTTGAAATGTTCAAAATGATGCAAGCATTGGAACCGAGGAAATGCTGCAAGCATTGAAACCATTGAACTGATTGAAACGCTTGAAATGGTTGAAATGCAATTTACAGTGTATACAGGGCTTTAGAGTGCAACTTGAGTGATTTTTGTGTATATTATTGTGTTATTATTATGGTAGAAATCTGCTGACGGGCTTTTCAACTTGGCCTAGCCTTAGTTGGAAACAACACATGCATGGATGTTGTTATTCAGAAATCTCTACTCTGAGCTTGAACAGTGTTGAGATATACTTTTGTACAAGCATTTTTGCATAAAAAGATATAGATTTTGCATGTTATTATTGCTTCTATTGTGATGAATGTCTCAATAATATATATTTTATGCATTTATGAATCTCTATTAAAGGGAGAATCAGATATAGTGAACAAGTTAGACAAAAATCGTTCTATTTTCGAATATTTTTCAGTTCATTTTTCATTTATTGTCATTTCTTTTTTTCTAAAAATCCCCAAAGTGCATACTTTATTTTAAGAATACTAAAGATTTTTACAATAATGTATTAATTTGTATTGCAGCCAAGGCCAAGGCCAACCATGACACATTCAATCTCAGGTGATAGTAATTCTAGTTTTTATCGTACCTAAAAAAAGGTACGATATTGTCGTCAGCTTGACAGGCGGGCGGCATCTCACTTTCTTGTCATTACGATTCCAGGAAAACTTCTTGACGGATTTATTTCAAATTCTCACACATGTTACATGGGAAGAAGTTCTAGAGCTGATTAACTTTTGGGTGCCCTTCTTGGATTCTGGCGGCCATCTTGGATGTTTTTAGATAAATCTTGTCATCCCGATTCCATAAAAACCACTTAACGAATTTACTTCAAATTTTCACACATGTAACATGGTAAGAAGTTCTAAAGCTGATTAACGTTTTGGCAGCCATCTTGCATTCTGGTGGCCATCTTGAAGTTTTTTGATAAATCTTGTCATCACAATTCCAGTTTGTTTTGCAGCCAAGGCCAACCATGACACATTCAATCTCAGGTGATAGTTATTCTAGTTTTTATCGTACTTAAGAAGTTTAAGAACTGATTAACTTTTCAGCGGCCATCTTGATTTCTGGGTCTTCAAGCCCACACTGCTATGTTTTAGGTATGATATTGTTCACCCTGTGCCTTGTTTCTATAATTATGGTTACCATTTTTATTATTTTGGAGAATTTAAACATTTTCCCTTATTTTTGGACTTTCAATCCTTTATTACTTTACCATCAAATTTGGCACCCCCTATAGATCTGATTCTGCCTTTAATTTAGACTAAGAGGGCTCAGTACCTCAGAATACTGTAAATTGCTTTAATTTTGTGTTATTTAATTTGGCAGATTGGGCAAATTTTGGAATTTTGACTGCTATTTGATATGGCAGATATGGATATCGGAAGGCTGGCTAGCAAGTCAAATGGCCAGGTTACTCTTGGGTGACACAGGGAGGTTTTACCTACATATATGAGCTAAGCTGTAAAAAATATGTTTACAATCAAAATATTGAAAGAATTCTCAAGGAGTCCTTAGGTCCCAGGGATTTTTTCAAAAAATTGGCTGAGACTTAATTTTTTATCTTTCCGTCAAATCAGCCAAATTAAAATGGCCGTCAAATTAAAGCAATATACAGTAACATATAACTTGCACCATCAATCAATAGATTTTGTAACCAATCTTATTTTCTTAATAGCACAATCACTCACCATTATAGCTATTTACACAGCATTATGCATTTACACATTTTACAATAAAATAAAGCTATTGAAATAAGTCGTTTTCTTTGTTTTATAAAAATACATTTTATTAATTCAAAAATTGAGTAAGGTATGACATGTATGAAATATGTTGTGGTATAGCTTCGTTGCAAGAAATGAGTTTCAACCAAATTCTGAAAACATTGAAAGTAAGGGCTGATTTAAGGGAGTTGCTGAATAGTTGAATAAATAGAAGTCAGCACTTGTTAGCTCACATGGTTGGGCTATTGTTATCACCCACTTGTTTTTATTAATTGTGTTGGTTGGGATGTCATAGGTTTCAATGGTAAAAACAGTCACTTACCTTGTATTCGTGAATGCAACTTATGCCTGTCAGCTACCGGATTAACCGGATTTATGACCAACAGGCGTTAGTTGCATTCATGAATACAAGCCGAGTCTCTTAAAATCCAATGAAAAACGAGAATTGGTGAGATTCCAAAGCGATATAGAACCTCCTTTATTGTCCAGATGTGATTTTGTGTCTTTCCTGTACTGTTATGGTCAAGGTTATAAAAGTTTAGTCTATGACCTTACTTCCTGTGTAATAAAAAAAATTAAAACTATGGCAGTCCACTTGAAATGAGCATTGCATTTTATAATGATTAATATCGACCATACCAAACACTTAGTATATCTACCAGGTCATTCAATAAGTTCCCTGAAAAATGCTCTCATTTCAAGTCAAGTTACCATAGTAACCCTTACTTTTGACCGATCAAATTAGAGATGCTGATATTTTAAGAATCTATCAGAAAGTATATTTTATACATTGTGTGCAAAGGACAATTCTCGGTTTGGAGAACAGTCTCCTGGGCTAATAATTTTTTTCATGAAAAATATAGAAATATTACCTAAATTAAACTATGAATATTCAAAAGAGGACATTTAAATCTACAAGATGTAAAAATAACAAATTGGTCTGAAGCAGGGATAACGCTCAATTAGACCGATTCAATAAAATACAAGTCTCGATTTGGGGAAAAAAGTTCATCAGTGTACTGCGCTAATATTTTTTTGCGAAAAATCTAGAAATATTACCCAAATCAAATTATGACTATTCAAAAGAAGACATTCAAATCTATATTATGTAAAAAAAATCAAATTTGTCCGAAGCAGGGATAATGCTCATTTATATTGATGAACTTCGTTCTCCAAACCGAGAATCGTCCTTTCATGAGAAAATATAAAAAATCTTTGAAATGAGAGCATTTTTCCGTGAACTTATTGAACGACCTGGTATAAATGGTTATAGCTACCATATCTAGAAAGAAGTGGACTTGCAAGGAATATACCTTTCAGTTTGTCTCTAGTGTTCTATAAAATATGCATCTATGTATGAAATAGACAAAACACAAGTTCATATTTGGCAAGTTATATTTATTGCTTAAAATTTTAAATAAAGTTCTGAATAAATAAAACAATTGTCCCAAAATATATGATATAACAACGAATAACAAAGTTGATATGTTTTGACTTCCAAGTAATGAATAGTACTTAAACCATAAATTGATCTCTAAATAATTGATTTGATTGTGTTGATAATGCCAACTTCCAGACTTGCCATGTGACTGACTCAAAGAATTTAAAAAACAATGAAGTATTCGATTTGTAGCTTACTTCATTTGTAATAACATTTAATAGTATATTTTAACATATTTAAATTAAGTACATAAGCTACACCTTTACCCTTAAATAAAACATGCAATAACAGCCCTGTAACAATGGTTAATCTGGCGATCAAATAATTTGACTCAAAGATATTTCACTTTTGTGATTTAATAACATGGGCTCTACAGGGGAATGTACTTAGCATAGAAGTCCCATTTTCAAAGAAAACTAAACTTCAAAGTTCGATAACCAATCTTTAAAACCATTTTTGTAGATGTAATTTTCTATGTAGGTTTCAAATATGAATATTGAATATTTAATGACGAAAATCAATATTTTTTATTTTTGCATTTAGTCTATTGAATAGAAATCTCAAAAATGGTCAAATTACAAAGCGCTAAATACACCAAGGTTACCAAGGTTGTTCTTTATGCAAGAGAAACATGTACCGGTATATGTACTGTATTACATGTATATAATCTAGACTCGTTATCTATATATAAGTCATAATGCTTTTATTGGTGACACCAAATTGTGGCGAAATTTAACAAATTGCACAAAAATCAATCAATATTTAATTCAACATTTCCATTATATATAAGGATTGCCTAGAAATTCATAATTAAAAGAATTATATTAATATAATATGAATCTGCACTTAAGGTAGTTTTGTCTGTTCAAATTCTTAATGACTTCTCATTAGAGTCCCTTGTTATTTTTAGGAACACAATACCTCATTTCATATATGGTTTAATTCTTAATTTTTCACTAGAAACACTTACATATACCATTACCTAGATATATATTCATGTTGAGGGTTAATACTTTACTACAAAGTATGAACATTAAGAAAATTCAGTGACTTACTTTTTAAAAGTACAAAATACAGGTCACTAAATTTTTTCCTTTTTATATACCAAGAATATTTATTACTGCTGAACTAATAATCTTTGTATGTGAACCCAGAAATAAAGTAAGACTCAAATTAGAAGTCATTAATATTTCTGAACATGTGAATATACTGGTACCTTATAATCATAATAATATACAGGGTGTCCATATGTCTTTTTATATAGCCTTTGTATTGTCATTGAAAGAGACTTTATTGACACCCTATACATTGAAATGAAATTGGAAATCCTGACACAGTGCAAATTGTTAGGCTCCCTTAGTTTTATGACACTTGTATTTTAAAGCTTGAAAGCCTATTCAAATTAACAATTGAAAATCCTATTCAGATTAACAATTGAAAATCCTATTCAGATTTACAATGAAACATTCTAATCAATCTTAAAATGGAAAATATATTTTACATTGATACGTTCTAGTCAGATTTACTCAAAATCCCTTAAATACATATAAGTGATAATCATGCCCTGATATAAACCAATTTTGGTTTAATCTAGGATTTGTCATAATATGTAAATCATGCCATATTTGCTGCGAAGTTATCCTGATTGGTGATTTGCTAATGTAAGTTAATGCTAATGTTAGAATTTTTTAACTATTTTTTTTTATTCAAATTTATTACAATCATTTGCTGAAAACAATCCATGACGATAATCAACAATGAAACCAAATAAATTGCGTAACATAAAGATCTTTTTCTCTGATTCTTAAGTAGCAAAGCCTGAGAAGATTCGAAGAGAAACATTTGTGCGACTATTTGCATATGGAAATTGGAAAACAGTGTGATCTTCAAACTAAATGTGTAGCAAAAAACCATCCTGTCAGAACTAGAGGTAGGATTTCACACTCTGAAAAACGCCTCTGTGTACAAAACAGGACATGCATAGAGTGACAAAAATAATGCATTCTATGAATACAATCTCCTTTTTAAATAATATCTATAGGTACATGTATGTGTATATGATAGATAATATATAATATTGTAACATTTATAAACTTGATCATGCATTTTTTGATAAATTGAAAATCATATTTGTATAAATACAGATACAGTGTGATTCACATACATATCATACAGATATGGCTAAATGTTATACAGTACACGCCAGTTGTGACCATACACTGTGACAGATTCTTACAGACCTTCCCATATACAGCCTCTTGTATACATTCATACCTGAATTGTACTGCATTTCTCTTCTGAGCAATCTTTAGACCCTCATTTATATAGTTTCTATACAATTGATATCATTATAATATGATTACACAATTTGAAAATTCAGTTAATTCATAAAGCTTTATATGGCTGATCTATTTCAAAAAGATTTACAAAATATTTTTAACAAAACAACAGGATGCTGAAATATTTAACATGTTTGATGTAATTCAAATATTTGGACGATTTATGAAATTGAAAATGTAGCCTGTTCTTCAGTAGATATAAAGCTATAGTCTTGAGGAGCTCTATAATGGATATTGATTTGGCATGTTGGTGTATATGGGTCTACCAAAGTTTAGGGAATGTCAGTCGTGCAAACCCTGGATCTTTTCTTTTGTTCCAATATTGTCCACCATACACATAGTTCTCTGATTTATCACTGGTTAACCTCCTGCAAGCAGAAACATTGGAAATATTTGAACCGAGTCTTATTACTTAGGAGATCATTTAATTTGGCAAAAAGTAATTTATAGTATAAACAAAGTTCCACAGCACACAGCAAAAATTCCAATACGTTTGAACTCTGATGCCAAATCCAAAAACTGAATCTCATCCAGTGCAACTGCAATTAACAACATTATCAAATTTTAGATTTGATCATACCTAAACCATCGAGGTTCATGCTTGATGCCTTCCTCTTCCCGACGTTTCCGTTTCTCACGTTGCATAAGTTCCAATCGTAGTTTCTCATTCTCCGCCCCTTGCACATTTCCTTCTTCAAGCAATCTCTGGTCAGTCCTGAATCTTGTGTCAGTTGCAGGAAGCAGCTTGGCATCTTCCTGACATAGTTCATTCAACTCTATGGCAAACCTATAATAAAGACATCAATATGACATTTTCATCACAATATAAGACCATCTTAAGTTAAATATTCCCTCCTTCTATGGCAAATCTATAGACATTTAACATTCTATCAAGCAGCAGACATGAATATGGTTGGTTGCAATAACAGAAAGTAGCATGAACCACCCAGACATACCTTGTGAAACCATAATATAGTTCATAGTCCTCTGGCATTGCACCTGGTCGCCAGATACACTTAGCAGAGGGGGCATGACCAGAGTAGATCCCCTCATTCCATTTCCCAAAAATGTGCGTCAAGACCTTACGATCAGCATTACAAATACTCCCATAGACTTCATGACATTTCTCAGACCAATAACTTGCCTGCAAAAGAGTCAAATTAAAAAGCATTGCACAGAGATAATTAAGTTGACAAGACTGGGCAACTGTTTCTATCTTTGATATGAAACCTTAAATAGCAAACCAAAAGACAACTTTTACTCGAATTCTTTTTGCTAAAACTTTGTTCATTCATCACAAAAATGAACACTGATCTCTAAAATCTTGTTTCTTGAATATCATTCTTTGGATTTCATCTATATCCTTATACCTACTTTATTATAATTATTTTAATATAATATAAGAATCTCATCTAGTAGTTCTGTATGTTTAGAAACTTTAATGGCTTCCTAATTGGAGTCCCTTGTTATTTTTAGGAACACGATACCTAATTTCATACATGGTTTATTGTTATTTATGTTCATTGTATTACCTTAGTAAAAGTGAGTTTGCATGTGATGCCATTGTCACATTTAATGTTCATCTCTCCATACTGTTCAGACCACCTTTGACCACCTAATATATTGTGAACACACGTTGTAACCTTATTCCACTGGTATTGCTCATTGAATCTAAAAAATGAACTTCTTCTTTAAGTTTGATTTATAAAGTCAAACAATAGTGTTTATATAACAATATAGAGTATACGCCACAGTGACAGTTTACAAGACACATGATTATACAAACAACAGTAAACCACAAACAACAGATTTTTTCACAAGCTTCACAGGACAACTGGTATACACAAAAATTATATACTGTGTAAAGTCAAATTTTACATAATATACAAGAAATGCCTTGTCAATAAAACATTTTGGACTAAACCCCGATTAGGTCAATTTTATAAAAGTTTAATATTGATATGCATTGACTTTAATATTGATATGCAATAAATATGGTTCCCTGAGTAAGTAAATACATGTATGTACTAACAAAGTCACTTACTTTGGAAGTTTAACACAGACTACTCCTACAGGTTGGATCTCCATAGATTTCCCCCAGAATTTTGTCTTTATCTGGGCATCTACAAAAAGACATGATATTCAGAAAAAACTATACATATAATCAACACTACAGAATAAACTTTGACCATTCCTTTCTCATACTTTTAAAAAGATTTCACATCAAGTCATCTAGGAAGATTATTTTCAGGTTCTTGTAAAAAGAATTCTTTTAAAAATGTAAAAATGTAAAATCAATATGTAATAAGTTACAATCATGTAGAATTCCCGCTAGACAAACTGACAATGGCACGACACGGGAATACATGATGCCAAAAATAATATTTTATAGGACCTTCTTACCTTGTGAAAAAACAAAGTTCTTTGACTCGCAGTAACATGCTGATATAGGGGGATGATGACTGACCTGAAACAAAAGAAAGCAGCTATAAATTATCCTGAGCATACAACTGGCTGTTGCCATGGAGAAGGTGTAACATAGTTGGCAGTTTGTAAATCAAGACATCTAAAGTGAAAATGACCACATATTTTCCAGTTTTACACACTGTAATATTTCAATGGTGAATTAAATATAACCAGACAGCATCTTTAAATTTAGAATACACAGAATTCCATGAATGATGTTTTATTCTTACTTGTTCAGATATAAACCTCCAGCCTTTGTCCTCTCTGACACATTCATATGTCTCTCCAAGCAGTGGATTGAATGGTTTCTGACCACACCTATAGTATGATGATGCATATCCGCTAACTGCAAATGCTGCCATATGAACCTGAAAACACAACACGTTTTCCCATAATGCACTGCATGATGACTTAAGGTACAGTGATATTTTAAATATGATATGATTTGATTCTTTTTATCGAACTTTCAAAACTGAATTTTTACTGTACTAATCATATCTCTCTTAAGCTGGCAATAGCTTGATGCCATTGAAGGCATGTTAAACTCAAATAAACATAACATAACATGTTGGAAATTGTTTAGACTGTAAATTGTTTAGATTGAAAATGAAGGTACTGTATTCAAATATAGTTCTTACCATTCTCTGTACAGGGTCTTGTATCTCTGCAGCTTTATCTAGCATTTCACTGTACTCCAATTCTTCACATAGCCACTAAAACAAGAATTCACCCAATTATTGAGTACCAGTAATAAAACCAAAGCAGGCACAAAGACTAGTATGTGACATACATGACCAATAAGGATATTCAAGCTGCCACCACCAATGACCACAGCTAACAATAAAATATTTATCAGTTTTCTCAAAATCAGGGTCTCACACAATAGTTACATATTTCTATTTAATACACAATTAATTTATTAAATTCACAATCATCAGATGTAGCAATTTTCATGCAAAATTCTTTTTCAAATTATACATACAAAACCACCCATTATGTAAATCCCATGACTACCCTACCTGCAGCATATTGAGAGGTTCATTCAGGGTTACTGGCATTGATATCTTTGAGAGATCCTTTCCGATATTTCTGCATAGCAGACCCCATAGGCTAACATCACCCGTATCAGGACGTGGGGAGGGAAGCTTGGTACGCCGTCCAGTCAGGTAACGGGGGCACCCTTGGTCATCAACTTCAGCCACTGAAACATGAGACTTTTCCGTTACACTCTTATATGAATAGGGTTGGTTTAAAGGAGAAGAAAAACAGAAATTGAAATGATGCGGATTTATGTTAGACTTTTACATAAGACACATGTTACATGAGATATTAAATATTCACTTCTGGTATTGTGCATTTGAAACAATACAGGGCTTTCACCAGGGTTTATTCCGGTTTTGGCTTAAATGCTTAAATTATGTGCAAAAATTGTCCTATCCCCTATATACTACTATAAAACAATGTGGCAATGATTATGCATAGCAGGCCCATAGCCAAGAGAACTGAAGGGTTTAGGTGACCCCATCTGTTTTGAGCATGATTTTCAAAAATAGCTCTCATTTTTTGCCACAGCCAAAAAGCCTAGCAACAGCCCTGAAATAACATTGAATATTTCATGTCAAATTCAAGTATTTGTAAAGTTACTCATTTTGTAGTTATACAGATGTAGAGAGTAACATCTGTAAGTGATATCGGACCCATGCAAGTAGATGTACTACTATTCAAGCTGTTAAACACAATATACTGAATTTCCAACCAGTAACATACCACAGAAGTCTGATTTAAGGATAACTGTGCATTTTACTAAAGGATTGTGTGAATACAACTACACAGGGTGTCAAATAAGTATGTTACACCCTTCCCATTCTTTTGTAAAACTGCTGAATATAATAACATGTGTGATATAGCATTTAAGTGAAGATACTTTGGATGAATTCTTTATATTTCTAACTGTTACATAAATAACATTTGTTACAAAATTGCTAGTACAAATATTTAATATTGAAATGTTTATCATGGTTGTTCAATGTAACTTTCAATGTTCTTTCCAGTGGTATATCACACTTGATATGACCTCAATAGTCTTGGTTGTACTGGGAGGGGGGGGGGGGGTATTTGACACCCTATAGGGACTGGTATAGATTATAAACCTAACTGTAACAGAACACACCTACAAGTTCTCACCATGCACCATCAAATTCAAATAATCTTAAATGTCTATATGTGCAACTATATCCATTTACAATTACAATTATAAGGAACTTAAAGGGCCAATAGCTGTATTTTCTCATCCTAAATAACAATTAAATATTTTTGATTCATAATGATGTGCAACTTACACAATCAACAGACTTGGACACAATCGTTCTTTTCAGTAATTATTAAAGCTAGAAAAAAGTGTTTATGTCGATAGTGAATCAAACGGATTTGAAATCAACAACAAAAAGGCGCTTGTCGTTTTTTCAATTTTGGCACTTGTCGTACAAGGTGAGAATGTTTTTCAAGCTTTGATATTTGAAAAGAATGTTTGTCCAAGTATATCAATTATGAAAGTCACATATCATTATGAATTAAAATACCTGAAGATTATTAAGAATTAGAATTACAGGTATCGACCCTATAAGATATATTTATTTAGTATAGGTTGAATTTCATAAAAGTTTCCAAACCTAAATTATTGTTGTTGGCAAAACTGCATTTAAAGATACCTGGATCTGATAGCAGTCCTAAAATGTAACTGGGAACATGGATTCGGACATTGCTTTAATTTCTGACAAATGTTAATTTGCAGATGAATATCATAATTATGCTTCACATTAATTCAGATTTCAGAGAGTCTATATTTCTGTTAAATACTAACATAAAATGTTGACAATAGATCATCTCTTTTTAAGAATCTATAAGAAATCGGTCTCTGAAATTTTAATCTATAATGATTTGGAGCTTGCATCATCAAAAGACTTAAGTACAAATCTTTTTTTGAATACCTACTAGTCAAAGTTTGACTATTCACAGTTGTTTAATAGATTTATACAAACTTATACACTAACAGCATGTTGAAGTTGTATGTTTTCAAAAAAAGTTTCACCAGATTCTTTTGATGGCGCAAATTATTTAGACACTATCATTAAAATCATAATATCATATCTTACACCTTCCCATTCGTATCAATTCATTCAGTCATTTGGAATAAGAATTTCCAATTTATGCATAATGATAAAATCCCCAAAATATGAAAGAAATCAATTTATGTACTGATTTGAAGTGAAATGGTTGGATAAAGTGTTATACAGTTAATCAGTTGAGATCACATTAAATCAATGCAAAACAAAAATGTATGGTATTGTAGAAATGAATGCATGAATGCGTAAAATATGGATAATAAAATGGAAAAAAGTTGCAATTCCAATAGTGATACGTATTTCAAAATAAGATAAGACAAGGCATAACAATAGGCAAAAGGTAATAGAAATTGTGCAATAAGGCCACAAAATTGTAATTCTTAGTCAATGGTTCACGGTCATATATGCACTGTAAATCTGCAGTAACCAAAGAACTACTATTCGCTGGCCTAAACATAGCAAAAAATCAAATCAGGAAGAATTGATATTGCGACAAGAGGCAAGTGGGGTTATACCTTTCACTTTTCTAGAGGTAACTAGGAAATTAAAAATAAAGAAAAACAAAAATAAAATGATTACAATATCTAATGAACCTAAAATATGCACATTTATAAATATCCAGCTTCACACAGATTTGACAAATTATCAAAGTATACACATTAAAACTTTGCAAAGTCAGGTTCTACTGTCAAATGTGATAATGAGAAAACGTTCATGTATTGGTAGCACACAGTGAACTGTAAACATGATTTTGATGATTTTGACAAATCCTTCAAAAAATAACTTCTAAATACTATCATTAGTCAAAACACCATATATAAAGAAAGCCTTACAATTTCTAAAACACTGAAATGAATTGTTTACTGACCACTTTCGCCAGGAGTTGTATTCTCCGTATCAGAGATATCACTGGAGGCATCATCTTCCTCATCAGATATATCACTGGAGGCTTCACTTGACATCAGGTACTCATTGGCATCAAAGAATTCACATATAGAAGTACTATCAGCTGAGATTGAATGTGTCATGGTTGGCCTTGGCTGCAATACAAACAATAATCACAGTTTAGTTTTGCAAATGATTTACCAGGTCGTTCAATAAGTTCCCGGAAAAATACTCTCATTTGAACGATTTTTGATATTCTCTGATGAAATTTTCACACAATGTACAAAAAATACTTTCTGATTGATTCTTATAATATCGGCATCTCTTATTTGATTGGTCAAAAATAAGGGTTACTATGGCAACTTGACATTTGGGTAGGCAAGGCACTTTTTACGTCACACAATTTACCATTACAGAAAATGTATCAATATGTGCAAATGAAGGATCCCTATTTTTTGTTTGTTCTTATTTGAATTACTAATGTTCTGAGGGAAAATTGATGTTCATTGTTTTCATGAACATTTCTGAAATCCTGCTAGTCAATGATGTACCAGTGGGACAGAAAATCAACAAAAAGTAGTAATATGGTAAGTTGATTAAAACTTAACCATTCAGCCAAACTCTAAATTTTTCCATTGGGATAATGCAGCCGATCAAACTGCTAATATTGTGCAGGAACCATCACAAACCAGAACATCGGCAACGCCAAAGCGTAGCGAATCCCATCGAACAGAAATGGCTGGCATTTTTAAAAACGAAATATATGGCAAATATAATAAAACAACACACATAAGAAAGGCCACCATTTTTGAAATGGTTGCTCACTAGCCAAGTTGTCATCAGAAGAATTAATTTGCTTTTAAGTAGCCACCTATAAAATTTTTGAAAAATCGCACACATGTACTGTAAAATAACACACATAAATATGGTGGCCATTTTTTAAATGGCCGACTACTCCCCAAAGTTTTTTTAGACAATGTGCCATGCTTAAAGTATTCACATATCAAATATGAACAAAATCGCTCCACTACTTTTTGAGTTAAAGTAAAAAATGTAAAAATGACAGCCATTTTTAAAATGGCCGCCTACTATCCGAAGTGTCATGAGACAGTGTGCAAGGCTCATGAGTATTCATATCAAATATGAACAAAATCGCTTTACTACTTTTCAAGTTATAGAAAAAACGTTAAAATGGCAGCCATTTTTCAAAATGGCCGCCTTCTACCAAAAGTGTCATAGTATTCACATACCAAATATGAACAAAATCACTCCACTACTTTTCCAGTTATAGAAATATACGTTAAAATGGTGGCCATTTTAAAAAATGGCCGCCTTCTACCAAAAATGTCATTAGACAGTGTGCCATGCTTATAGTATTCACATACCAAATATGAACAAAATCGCTCAACTACTTTTCGAGTTACAGCAAAAATCCCAAAATTTTATGTAATTTTGGTTTTTATAAGTTAATTATACTTACCTATTATGTCATTACAATATGCTAAAAGCTACCATAGTCACCTTTTATTGGAACAATTATTTTCTACTTTCACTTTCACTTTCGGTTTCCCGGAAGCCCCGCCCACTCTACGTCATAGTCGCGCATGCGCACCATTCATTTTTCACTAGGTGAAACGCTTATTTTAAAGCTGATAAGCGGGGTGGCAAGGGAGGGCTTTTGATGTAATGACATAATAGGTAAGTATAATTAACTTATAAAAACCAAAATTACATAAAATTTTGGGATTTTACTACGTAAATTAATATCACTTACCAATTATGTCATTACAATATGCTGAATCCCACCAGAGCAGGTGGAGGGATATTAGCTTAGAAAATAAAATAGTCCAAAAACAGCATTAACTGATTAGAATTCGTACTTGAATCATTATCCTTACCGTAGGATATTAAGTTAAATAATTTTGCAACGCAAAACTAAAAGTAACAAGTGAAAATAATTTATCCAAGCACACTCCTTTGTTATTCATATCTTAATTATTGATAACAAATAATTGGAGATGAATAACCAAAACTTTCCACCTTTTATTGGTAGAATTATGAACTATAAGACTTTAAAACTTACTTAAACAGTTTTGTTCGCAGCAATGAAGTGGTTGCCTTCGAAGTCTTTCAAGGACACTTCCTTTAAGTAGAATGAAGCGAACGTGTTAAAGTTAGTCCATCTTCCAGCTTGAATAATCTCGTCTAGAGTGCAATTCTTCGCAAAAGCAATGGAAGTTGATAAGGCTCTGAGTTGGTGAGTTTTAACCTTATAAACCTGCTCAGCATGCTTGGGAAAAGACTGTAATGCCTTTGCTACACAATTCTTCACCCATGAAGTTATTGTGTTAGCATGTATCTCTTCTTTATAGCCTTTCTTGTATGATATAAACAATCTTTGTTGTTTATCTCTCATGGGCTTTGATCTTCTCATATAAACTTTTAATGCTCTAACAGGGCATAAAAGTTTGTCATCTTGAAGATCTGGTGTCAAAAAACCTGTTAAGGCTTTTATCTCAATGTCCTTCAGGACAGTACCTCCAGCCTTTAGTAAGGTCTTGGGTACAAAGTCAGATTTGAATCCCAGAAAAATGGATTGCCAGTCAATACTATGTGACACCTTCTTAAGCACCAAGGCATGTATCTCACTGCGTCTTGCTGCAGAAGCTAACAGAGTGAGAAAAACCGTTTTCCACGTGACATATTTTAAATCAACAATTTCGATAGGTTCAAAAGGAGGTCTCATAAGACCTTGTAGGACCACATTTAAATCCCAGTTTGGAATTTTATTAGAGATATTCCTCGGTCTTTCTTGTTTGAAATTAGATAGCAAACAAGAAATCAAAGGATCTGAACCAATATCTAAATTCGAAGTTTCTTTCAGAGTATTACCTAAGGCTGTTCTGTATCCTGCTATAGTAACTGGTTGAAGTTTTCTATCTTCAAATAACCAATTCAGAAAATCGGCTACTACAGTAACAGAAGTTCTGAATGGATCTCTATTCCGTTCAGAACACCAACCAGCCCAGACTCTCCATTTCGAGTCATATACCTTGATCGAGGAGTTTCTTTGAGGTTTTGCAATTCTTTCTGCAACCTTGTTTGAAAAGCCTTTGTTTTTAAAGGATTGTTTGACAGCCTCCAAGCGTGAAGCTTGAATATTTGGGGATTTTGATGAAATACCCATTGTCTTGTCTGTTTCAACATTTTTGGAACTACTGGAATGTTTAGAAGTTTCTCTACAAGAGACTCTAACAGTCTGGGATACCATGCTTGTTTCTCCCATAATGGGGCAATGAGAATCATTTCCACATTTGTCGTTTGCAACATCTTGTTCAGAACAAGAGAGATTAATGGTGTCGGGGGAAAGGCATAAGCCCACAGACCTTTCCAATCCATACTTAGAGCATCTACCTCCCATGCTAGCGTATCCGGGACTGGTGACACAAATAGAGGTAATTTCGTGTTGTGTCGTGTCGCAAAAAGGTCTACTAGAGGTTTTCCCCATTTCCTGCAAATTGCATGGAAAATTTGATCTTTCAGACTCCACTCTGTTGACAGAATCTGAGACTTTCTGGACAGAGCATCTGCCAGAATGTTCAATCTCCCTGGAATATGACGTATTGTCATTTCTATATTGTTGACTTGATTCCATAGCAGAATTCTTTTTGTTACCTTGAATAACTGGTAAGAATGTGTGCCGCCTTGATTTTTCAAATAGGCCACAGTGGATGCATTGTCTGAGGATACTTGTATCCTTTTCCCCTGTACTTGAGGTTGAAAATGTTTGAGACTTAACTCTACTGCCATCAACTCCTTCATGTTGATGTGCAGGTTCAGATCTTGTTTGGACCACATCTTTGAAACTTCTAGATTTTCTAAATGTGCTCCCCAAGCTGTCATTGAACTGTCTGTGAACAGTTTTAGATCTACTGAATTCTGCATTTGAATCGGAACACCTTTCACAAGATTGTCCTTGTTTAGCCACCAGACTAAGTCTTGTCTTGTCATTTTGGACCATGGAATCAAAATGTTCATGTCCTTTGAGGCATTCCAATTTCTCTGGAGATCGTATTGCATCTCCCTCATGAACAATCTCCCTAATGGCACAATTTTCTCTGTTGCCGCTAGGAGACCCAAAATTCTTTTCCAGAATTTTGCTGTTTGTAAAGGTTTCGCTAGGAAACGCTGTATCTCTGTTTCGAGTAACTTCACTCTGTATTGAGTGGGTAAAATTAGACCTTTCTTTAGGTCGTAAAGTGAGCCCAGGTAAGTAAGTTGCTGAGTTGGATTTAACTCTGACTTCTCCAGATTTAGGAGAAAGCCTAACTTTTTCGTTAAGTTGCACACAGTCTGCGTGTTCTCTGAACTTACTTGGTGTGATGATGCTATTATCATCCAATCGTCGAGATATTGGAACATCTTTATATTTATTGAATGAAGGAATTTTTTGATCTGAGAAACTATCTCTGTGAAAATTAAAGGAGCTGTTGCTAGACCAAATGGAAGACATTTCCATTGGAAGACTCCCCGACCTTTCACGGCAAATCTCAGATATTTCTGGTGAGACCTGGCGATAGGGACATGCAAATAGGCCTGTCGAAGGTCTATAGAAGTCATGTACATTCCCTTCTCCAGATTTCTTTTGATGATTTCTGGAGTGTCCATCTTGAATGATGGGACATTCAGAAAAAGATTTAGAGTTGACAGGTCTGTCACGGGTCTCCATTTGTCGGATGACTTTTTTGGAACCAGAAATATTCGACTGTAAAAACCTGGGGAAGAAATGTCTTCTACATGTTCTATAGCATTCTCCTCTAGGAGAGTGTTTATTAGGTCGAAAACTGCCGCTCTTTTTAGAGGATTGTGAAATTCTGACCAAAGGGGAGTCTTTTGTAACTTTGGCTTTTCTTTGAATGGAAGATAATAGCCTTCTTTTAAAAGGTTTATCACTTTTGCCGAAGCATTTATTTGACTCCATTCCTGCCAGAATTCCATCAACCTCCCACCTACTTTGTCGTTTGACGATGTATGGAGGTAATTTTCGACCTGGAATAAGTCACTGTTTATCAGTGGACTTTCCTCTACCGACAGATTTACCTCTGCCTCTTCCTCGAGAAAACCCCTTTGAACCCCGTCCTTTTCCACGAAAAGAACTATCTTTGTTCTGGAACTTATTGGAAGTTTTGGGTTTGTTTTTGTCCTCCTTTTTAGAGGTGTAGTCAAGAATTTGATTCTGCGCTATATCATTTTTAGCTTTCCTCAAATTTTCTTTCACTTTGGCCAAGTTGTCTTGAAACAACTTGCCAGTTTGGGGCTCAAGAGTCATAAGTTCTTTGAGATCTGCAAAGGGGACTCCTTCAATCAAGTTGTTCTTTACACCTGGGCAAAGTGGCAGTTGTAAAGAATTAGTCAATACTGAAGGTTTATCTTTCACTAGAGACCAAGATTTGACCTTATTCTTAGGTGTTGACATCTCTGCTATCTCAGGGAAAGATTTTTTAACGACTTCAGTGGCTGCCAAAAATTCTAATTTGGCTCTTGCCACCTCATTTGATGGCTTAGTATCAGGATCTTCCTGTTCACCATCATTCTCCAACTCTATAGTAACTGAATCATCGTCTCTATTGAGAGAAATGGTTCTTGTAAGAGAAGGAGGTGATTTAAATTGATGATCATCATTTATTTGAATGTGATCATCCTTTTCTTGTGTGTGATCATCATTTACTTGAGTGTGATCATCATTCACAGACCATGGCCTTGACTGTGTTTTCTTGGAAATATTTTGAGGTATGTATGCAGATCCTGCATACATCGCTCTCAGAACTTGCTGGTCTTGCAAGAAATTCTGAAACATTTCCTGTCTCTGATCAATTCTCGGATTGATAAATTGATCTCTCTCCCATTGATACTTATCGTATCTGGGTGAATCTTTATCATTTCTGTAACGTCTCCTTTTAGGACTTATAGAAGGAGATTGTTTACGATAGTATCTCTTCTTAGGACTTAAAGAAGGAGATCTATGAGACCTATAAGCAGATCTATGATGTGAAGATTTGTGTCTTTTCCTCGGACTTGAGGACAAAGACTTTGATCTAGACCTAGACTTTGATCTATGTTTGTACTTGTATCTAGACCTGGACTTAGATCTAGACCTTTTACGATTGTGAAGTCTATCTTTAGATCTGTATCTCACCCTCGGACTTGAGGAATGAGAACGTGATCTCCTTGATCTAGACCTGGATCTAGACCTGGATCTCGATCTGTATCTACCCCTCGGACTTGAGGAAATAGATTTAGTTCTGTGACGTCGCCGTTTAGGAGAAGCCGAATCTCTGTGACGATGTTTTTTACGTCTTTTAAACGAAGTGTCAGAGTCTGACCTACTAGAAATTGAAGTACTTCGACTTTCTCTACGGCCACGCCGGTCTTTTTCTAGAACTTTAGACTTCACAACCGGTGATTTACCTTTGTTCGAGCGCGCTGGGCTAACTCGTGGATCACCCTGGGTATTAACCCCTTCTGTTGTATCTAACTGCGTTGTATTCGTCGACATAGTAGACTTGTAACGCTCGTTTTTGTACCAATTTATCGCACTTTTGAAAATTTTGTGTGACTTTCAAAATGGTAGAAAAATGAATGGTGCGCATGCCCGACTATGACGTAGAGTGGGCGGGGCTTCCGGGAAACCGAAAGTGAAAGTGGAAAATAATTGTTCCAATAAAAGGTGACTATGGTAGCTTTTAGCATATTGTAATGACATAATTGGTAAGTGATATTAATTTACGTAGTAAAATTGTAAAATAACGAGTAAAGGCCGCCATTTTTCAAAATGGCTGCCATGTGCTGCTTTAATATCTACATTTTTAGCTTTATTTATGTCCTACATTTTTTACATTTAAAACATATTGCTATGATAGTTTTATATATTTCACCTAAATTACTGTAAAATTGGCACAAAAATGGCCACCATTTTTAAATGAACGGCCATTTTGAAAATCGCCCCCATAGGGGAATATGTATACAAAATATGAACAAAATCGGGCCAACGGTATTTGAGTTATTGCCTGGACGGAAGGCAAGTACAGGAAAATTGGTAAGTCTCAGAATCAGGTATCAAAAATCCTTTTACACATGATATACTCTGGTTAGATGCTATATGTGAGTTGAGTGTAGAAAAAGCACTCACAGATACAGGGGCAGAGTCCACTGTTACTGTAGGTATAGGAACAACCCCAGATACATCACACTCTCCAGCTATCCTAGACAATCTAGCCCTTAGCTCAGCATTCTGCCTCTGGGCCTACAAGAAATGACACACAGATTGGGATAACAAATGGCAACATAACACATCCCTAATACTTTACCAAGGCACCCAGTGACAAAGATTTTACTTCCCCAGCATTCCCGAGAAATAAGCGGTTATACATTTTTAAACAAAGAAACATCCAATTGAAAATTTCAAAACTTCCTGTTAAGCGGTTTGCTTGGAATCCAGATAACATTTAGGTATGATTAATTTAGGTAATGAACTTAATAAAAGCAATTGTAAACAATTTTACAAATTATAAGTCTACAGTCTGAATTCTGGAAAATCAAAGGAAATCAGAAAATTTGCTTTCTACAATTTTTCTAATGTTATGTTTAATGCAAGCTGGTACCTCAATGAGTTGTTGTTTTACTGCATAGTTGGTTGTTGCTCCTAAAGGAGCGAGGGAGTCTTGCTCCAAAGCATGACGGATCTTCTCCCTCTCAGTGTCCATATTTGACACCAAGCCTTTCAAACTTTCATAAACTGAAAATAAATAATCATGTCAGTAAATATTACATTTAGTTGGAATTACATGTACATGACATCATGTTTTGATTTTTAACAACCTGCTGATTGACTACCAACTCTGGATGGATGAACAGATAGATGGGCAACTTCTTTAAATCCCTACTCAAACTTTGTTTAATGGAATAATAATCTCATGAATAATTCAATGGTTTCATGTTGGGAAACAAACTGATGAACGAATGATCATCTCTAAATTCAGTGCAAGAACATGATCTTACTATTTTTAGCGGTTCCAATAAAATCTTCACGTAAATGGTTGTCCTGGACTAGTTGCTCTTTACTTGGAGGTGACGTGTTGAGGAATGTGTTAGGAAGGCTGATTGGTCGACCCCTGTCTGTGTCGAGGGTTGATAAGTTAGGATTGGATGAGCTCAAGTGAAATCGTTCACTCCCACCGGGGGAAAGCTGTAATACAAATGGAGTTTTCTTTACAATATTATCTCATTGACAATTTGTTTTTTACAGATTAATGAAGATTAATCAGTGGTCAATTTGTGTTAATTGGAACTATTCGCAAGTGCTGGGAATTCTTTATGCAGTTGTGTACTTTCAAACAGAAAACATTTCATAGATTAGCTTGGAATGTTTTTCAATTTGAATGACTTCATTTGATGCTATCTCGAGACATTAACGTACAATATATAACAGTCATTTTTAATATCTGTAATAGCCTATTATTTAGGCATGCACTTTTACATATTCCTTAACCAATTCCCATGCATGGATGCATTTATTTTACCATCATGCAATTGTATTATACAGAAAAGCTAGAATGTAAATTCACCGTATAAGCTTTATATAAAAGAAACATTTATTTTTATTTGAAAACCCAGTATCAAAGATACAGAGGGAGGGGGGAGGAGTTCAACACAGTTTTAAATATTAAAAATTCAATGAGATCACATAGAGACATGATTAAGAAGATTCACATTAAGATCTCACACATTATGGGTCCCATAGATCATGGGTAACGGGAATCACAAATCATCAGATATACAGTACAAAATTGGAAAGAACTAAAAATTTCTAATGTTAACTACGGAGTTCTTCTAAAGATACACCATCAAATTAGCTTCAGCTAGCTAAAGCCTTTTCCTAGTACCACACACAAAGAGGAAAAATCATTATATCAATGTTTGGGTAGAATAAACAAAATTTCTTTACAGCAAAACATTCACTTCTGATGACAGAACTTTGTTAAGATTAAGTTCAGAAAGAAGGTGGCTAAGTCCTGCAGTACATCTACAATAGTACCTATCTAACTTAATCTAAATTACAATCTACAAAGAAATTACAATAATTCACATCCATCCCATAATTTTCCATTGGTTTTGTCATCTTTTTGCATGCCAGGAGGCCGTTTGTCAATAATATGGTATAATATTTTTATTATATAATTTTACATAGCTTATCAACATTTGAGGGGTATACCTCTGGTATGTTTCATACTGTATAGATTGGCACTGAAGAATACAATCCATGAAGGGGTCCTGTGTACCAATAGACATACAAGCACATACCATGTACCAATGTCTTTTCAAAAAGCTATTAGACTATTATGGATCACTCAGCCACGTTCCATATTTTACATATATATTCTTGATTTTTATTTTCAAAATACAGTTTAATTATAGAGTATTGTAAGAAATTGAATGAGTCAAAGTGAAATTCAATATACTTTCGAAGGTGAGCCCAGAACCAGGTTCTCTTTGCCCATGCAGTTGAAGATGCCACTTGATGTGCTTTTTCAGAGCAACAGCAAAATGCTAGAAAATTATGGGATATACATATATACTAATTAAGCTAGCTAGCTATCCACCTGGTTAGTTTGTCCCATATATGATGCTCTTCTCTCGCTACTTACGAGGCTCTTACGAGGCAACTCAGGGGTCCGCGCCCCTTTCTTCTCCTTCTTGGAACTAGATTTACGGAAAGAAAGGCGGATTCCTGTTTTCTCTTTTTTGAGGCTACTGGTGTTGAGCTGGTTGTGTGAGAGATAATGAAAGCATACAGTGTTGACTATGAAGGAGCATACACTATAGATGAGTGGGGTGTCACAAGTGTACAAATGTGTATAAGGGGCCAAAGGGACCCATGTAAGCTTCTCAAAAAAATGTTACCCTAAAAGGTTTTGGCTCATGTTTTTAAAAAGATTTTCTTAAATATTTGGAAATAGGCATGGATCTTATGCTTCCACATACCTTATTTTGTGACACCCCCACGCTATATTTACACTACATGTAATACAATCTACATCTAATCAGTGGTAGAGACAGATAGCAAACTCTCTTTACAATAATATGCATGTGGGTTGTACATGGAGCATAAAGGCACAATAAGAAAAAATCAAACATTTTAAAGTACCATGAATCCACACAAGTCATTAGTCTTTTTTAAAAAACTGGAAATCTTAAAAAGAACAATGGATTCGCTAATCTGTAATGGCAATATTTGAAGAATTTAAAGGTTTATTGAGAATTATGATATTTGAAACTTAATCATTCATACATTTGAAGGAGATCTGGACTTGACATCTCTCAAATATCTTCAAGAAATACCCCCTGTCTCATGAGCATTGACATTGAAGCTTTATTTTAATTATCATAAAACAGTCCTAAACATGTTGTCTTAGAGAGAGGCTTGCTGATAGTGCTTTCATTATGCAAAGAGAGTTTGTTCTTAGCTCAATTCAAGCATAGAAGCATAGTACAGTAACAATTTAGTGAACATTCAATATACAGAAAGTGTGTGTTGGCCAGAGTAATTAAATACTTTGTTAAGCATAATTTGTTTTTGTATAGAAGGTATAAAATTTTGTCATCTGTCAAGATACAAGGGGTGATCAATAAATTCACAAGTGACCCTATCTCAAAATGTTTTGTAAGGTATGGTATTCATGATGGCTGAAACATCGTACAGTAACAAACTGACGGCTAGAATCAAGGTTTAGATGTTTACATTTTGCTGCAGGTCAAACAGCAAGGAGTATATTCATCGCATTCTTGTTAGTGATCCAAGTGTCTTATACATCTAGATTTAGGCTCAAGGTAAGGAATTATATACAAATCAAAAAAGAGCTGTGTAAAAATAATTCAATGTTACTAGATACTTAAGTAATGGTATATGTATAGTACACCATGGATCTAGGAACGGTGAACGGTAAAATAATCCACTTGATGTTCTTAAGATAAGGGTCTTATGACAACAATTTTCGGGTTTCACTTGTGGTCTAAGATATAAAATGAATGAATAGACTAGAGTCACCTAACAGTAGTCAAGCAAAATGTCTCCCCACAACGCAACTAGGTCATGCCCTTGTTACAGACTAATGGTATACTATACATAGATTTTATACGCTGTATTCAGAACTAATAGTATAAAAGCAGCATTAAAGCTACATATATCCTGTACAATAGTACTAATGAATTAGAAATCATTATGATTGACAAGTTAGGTTGATTTGAGAAGTAATGCAGCATTAGACTACATTCTACTATGGATATACAATATTTTTGAAAATCTCTGAATCCACCTATAAGAATTTTGTTTCAATATCTTGAACTTTGCAAATGCAAAAGATAGAACTGGTTTTATTTAAAATACTCCAGAATATACAGGGTGTCAAAAAACAACGGCACCCCCCTCTACAGCAAAAAGTACTTAATATTACATGATGTGTCATATGTCATTTTAAAGACAATTTAATTCTGGAGTTACCTGAGAAATATCAGTTTTATATCATGTAATTTTACAGATTTACAGCTGAATCTTAGTAGTTGGTATGATCGCCAGTTGCTGCTCAAACAGCAGCTTATCTGGACGGATATGATTTCAATGAAAATTCAGATAAAGGTGTAGCATTGCATAATCCTCTAAGCACTTTCCTCAAATTCTTCAGAAATACATCCTCACTGTGTCTTTTTTCAAGAGGCTCTTCGTCCATCAGTTCCTATACCCTGTTTTTCAGAACTGAACCCATATGTTCAGTGCAGTTGAAATCTGAGCTAATTCTTTCATATTCCACTTTCTGAAGATTTGACCTTTAACCAGTAACAGAGCAGCAAATAAAGTACCAAAGTAGCAAACTTAAAAACAATGTAGCTTTTTTAATATAAAGTTTTTATAAATGAAATTTGAGGAGTTACTCCAGAATTAAATTATCTTTCAAATGATGTATGACACAATATGGAACATTCAGGACTTTTTGCTGGAGAGGGGGGTGCCGTTGTTTTTTGACACCCTGTACATTCCTTTTCAAGTCTGATATACAATATAAATTTCAAAAGCCTGGTATACATACTATAGATGAAAAAATGAAAGAATAGATCTACAATAAGAAAGTTTGACAAAATACCCACTGATGGAACCTGTAGAGGCTATATGGGATCCCAGATAGACCTCCCTTTAATAGTCCCATAAAAGGATGGGACATAATATGATGCTGTGCAATGTAGGACACAAGAGAGATAACACATTCAAGTAAAGCATTTCCTAAATACCAGATTCAAACTTAGAGGTCGGTATACCATCCGGCAATTGTTGGTACAGACTTGTGCTTGTGTCTTTTCAATACTACAGGTCTGAATGTTGGGCAAGTAATTTTTACTTAAGTAACACCCTTAGTCAACTTGCACTTTGACACATATTTGACATATCTACAAAGATGACACAACTGTAACACAAAAGGATATATAAAAGTGAAACACACAAAACTGTAAATAACAATGTGATATTTGAAGAATAGTATATCAAAACATACCATATTCATTGTAATAATACCTCATACACCAATAATTACACTCAAGTCTTGAGATAGCATGGGCAACTATTACATTGACTATGGTAAGTGACACACCAAGTGAGAATATTACATTGCATACTAGGGAGCTTACCTCTGTATTGGATGAGCCACCTGGCTGTAAAGGACTATTAGACTGGCCTAGCTTCTGTAGGACTTCGTTCAGTTCTACCAACCTAGCATGGACATTCTCCAAATCTACAATATATTGCCTTTATTAAGCACTCAATAAAATAGCCATTTATTACACTAATAATTTACTAGTTGATGAGACCCTAAGGAAATAAACAATATCTGGAAAAAATGATACATAAAATATACATAACAGAATATGAAATTGGCTATTATATCAAAAATCATACAATAACCAAAATAAATGTTTGGCCTTCATTGCAATTAACAAGTTTATATAACGAATTACCATGACAAAATGTCAGCACCTTGTATGAGTTACTGCAAATTATTACATATGCTGAACTCTGAACGCTGACCACCGAACAGCATCCACAAAGATATTGGACACTATAACAATATGTCACCACTTCTAGGGTTGACATTTAAACCTGTATCATGTACCTATATCATGAACAATTTCCAGGTTGAATGTATGACTAACCTGTATTGCATTTATCCAAACCAGTCATGTCTAGCAGCCAGGCTGCAACTCTCCCTTGACCGCGAGTTAAAGTGGAACTTCGAGATTTCATACTTCCTGATCTCACCTTCGTTAGGCTCAGTGTGCGTTGTAATTCACGGAACAGCTCATCTATAAATAAATAAGAGAAGTTCAATTAAGAAACAAAAGATATCTTCAAAAATCTCCTCAATCCTTTTTTTCTATAATTGCCAAGAAAACAAGAGTTAATAATAATAGGAAAATGTGTTCAAAAGTTATACTTCATAAGTTAGGAATTATGGATCATTCACTTCAAAATAATTGTGTGATGTACTGACTAGATAAAAAACCAATGTTGGATTTTGATAAAAATAGACTAATAAAAAGCTGGATCAAAGAAGCTGTGATAGAAATAGTTAATGATAATATGAAAAGAGAATGGGCAATAATAAATTGGTATGAATGAGGAACAATTTTTTAATTAATAATTAAATGAATGTAATATTGTTTTTCACCTGGTGGTTTTTCCTGAGTAGGTGTAACATAAGTTTCTGGAGCAGTTTCTTCCTGACTAGAAAATTTATTGATTTTGCTGACGTCGCGGTCTCCATAGGAAATCTTGTGCTGTCTATAAAGTCTGTGGTGTGTAATCTCGGTGATCCAGCCATCAAAAATATTGGAACTCTTCACCTAAAGTAATTCACAAAACAACACACATGATATCTCTTTTTTAAATAATACAAGATGCACAGCAGTAGACTAGTGAAGATATAGAAGTTATTCACTGTGAAAATGTAAGGTTTTAGTGCCTGAACGCTTCCCGGTCATCTCAAACTATGTCAGTTCAAGTTCAAGGTCAAGTCAACTGAATCAGTTAAAAAATAATGCCTCAGCTAACTACCTAAGGCAACTTAGATAGTCCACTAGTCAACTCAACCAAATCTGTTGAACCCTGATTCTACTCAACCAAAACAACAACTAAACAAATAGTTAATTAAAGTTAACTCATCCAAGTAAATTCTTGTCCTGACTGAACTCCTATTGACACAAGAACAAGTCAGTATCTTGACTAATGAGTTTTCCAACACATTTCGACAATATAAAGGCTATAAATGAACTGTTTTTTATCACAAGCCCTTAGTACAGATAGATAGAGGAAATCAACCTCCTGTAGCTATAAACCACTGAGATGATATTATTCCCGATTGAGAAACTGTCAAGTTTGAATTCTCATAAATCATGATTAGTTGGAATCCATCTTTCATGTATCTGTCTAGAATAGCACTATGTACAGAAAATATGACAGGAATAAAATATTCTAATTTCCCAGGATATTGCGCCAGCTGGTAGTGAGTGAGCTTTTACAGATACAACTAGATAACGGCAACTCCGCGGAGTAGCAAATCCCAACGAACAAAATATTAATTACCGAATTCCAATCAATTATACTCATCACTTTGGTTAAAACTGAAAAAAATAGATTTTAGAATTGCGAATTCCTGCAAAGCAGCCATTTTGAATTTTCTGAGATACAAATTTGAAAAATAATACCATAATTGTGATCTACTCCAAAATTCCTTCAATTTGAGTATAATATAGCCATACTTTGAAGGGATCGAAAAATTATTGCGAAATCGTACATTAGACGGCCATTTTGAATTTTACGAGGCTCGAATCAGAAAAAAGATACAATATCTGCAATCTACTCTTAATCGCCTTTTATTTGAGTATAATAAAGCTATACTTCAGAAAGATCTAAAAATTAGCGAAAATTTCTGTTTTCCTGTCCCCCCATACACGGCCCCTGGGGGTCAGGATGAAAAACAGGGAATATATGTGAAATAGATAAATGTTGTGAATATACTAACAAAATTTCAAAGAATAATATTAATTACTTTGGTTTAGAATGAAAAATTTATGATTTTTGCGAAAAAGTCCCGTCATTTTTGAAGCGGTGGCCATCTTGAAAATTTTTTTTTTGCGTAAAACTATTCACCAATATACATCTTTCCACTTAATATGAAGAAAATCCGTCAACTAGTATTTGAGTTATCTTCCGGACAGACGGACGGACTGACTGACGGACGGACAGACGGACGGACGGACGGAGGGCTTCACTATATCCCTACCGAACTTTGTTCGTTGGGATAATCTGTCACTTGGGGAAATTTTGTATTTTAAATTTTTGACAAAATAAAGATATGTTACAGTAGACTGCACTGTACACTGTACACTGTTACTGTACACTGCACTGTATGACTGTATGTAAAACTGATTGCTCTCTAATGGCATTTCAGGATGTCATAGTGACACATATCTTCTATTTAGAATAAATTAGCTTTACTCATAACATTTTCATGTTTATTTTGCTAGGTACCTTTAAATGGTAGATAATATCCTCAGCATCTATGTCTAGTCGTTTTGTGTATTTTTTATATGATATAACGGACAAACCAAGATCTATGGTTCCATGGATTTTCCCTTTCGCAATCTGAAATATATAAGATTTATACTAATTGAAAATTGGAAATACATGCTGAAAATCTGTGAATCTGAAGCTCAATATGTAACAATCTATTCTACAAGGCTATAAAACAATGTTATTGTAAAACATGTGAAATTCACGTTTGTTCTTTTCACAAATTTTAAATTTCATAATTCACTATTTTAAATTTTTACTATTATGTACATGTCATGTAGTTGTTGAAATGGCACAATTTAGTGGCCTCCCTTGATGAAAAAACTGTACAATAAGGCAAAATAGCAGATCAGTACCACTGAGAGGTGCTCACATTGAAAATCCCTGATAACATGGGAGTTAAAGGATATAAAAACAAATTTTTCACTTTAGAGTGTTCCTTTCACAGTTTCCACAGTACAGCTCACAGTGGAGTATTTCTGTCTTAAAATAGACTAATGGGTACTAATAAATCAAAACACATTTCAACTTGTATATTGCTTGATAAATAGGCAATAGGTTTGGCAGTTTAATCAAGTATTTTGAAAGCTGGTAATACTCATCTTGATCTATCAAGGTATTACATCCAGAATGTCTAATATGTGAACTACTTTTAGACCAAATAAACGTCCATATTTCAAGAGAGCTAATAGAAGGTCAAACGTAAGCTTTTGTACCAAATCATGCAATCTAAATATTCACTTAACAAAGTTTCGGAGACAGAAGACTGTTAATTCACTAATTACACCCAAAGGTTTCAATTAGTTTAGACAGTCTAAGTAATTACCACTATTCTGCATTTTGTGGTTGCCATGACAATCAATCCAAGGTATGCTTCATTACAGAAATTCAATATCCTAAATTTGGATGTCCCACTTTACTGTACTAACAGCATATTCCTGAATAGGTACAGTTAAACCTGTCTAAGTGGAACACCTTTGGTACCTCTAGAAAGTGTTCCACCTGGGAAGTGTTCCACCTATAGAAGTCTATTTAACATTAAGTAAGTTGTTCATGGGACTCTGAAAAGTATTTCACCAGCAGAGGTGTTTCACTTCTTGAGGTTTTACTGTATTTCATATATTCTAAATAACCACCACTGAATGATCCATTATATTAATGATCCATTATATTAATGTTAATATCTAATTTTACTCACATCAGATGGTGTTTTGGCGTATGTCATGATGCCACTATCAAGTACAAAATATCTCTGAAAAGGAAGAACAAAAGAAATTAAGCTGAAATTTAACATAAATGTATCTTTAATGCATATATGATCATTTTTCATCATTGTGAAAAAGTACTAAACTCTGAAGACTGCATTGCATCTGAACTTTTAAAGGTTTTTCAGCATTGTGTCAATGGAGATTTGGCCCGACCTTTTTTTACAAAACCAGAAAATCATTAGAATTTGAATAAAGATAAATAACAGTGCAAATCAAAGTTGTTTTGAAAGACAATTACACAGGGAATTCAAATATGCCATCGAATGGAAGAAAATTTAGTATTTAATGGTTAAAAATGCAGATTTCCTAAAATCTCATTAGAAACGAGACTTTAAAGAGATTTCAAAGCTATATGGAAAAAGGACCATTAGATTAAGATTAATGATATGAGTTTTATAACCACAGGAAAAATCCTGGAGAGCACATGTACTGGATACAAACTATAAACTGTAAAACATGTCTAAGTGGAACACCCCTGGAACCTCTAAGATGTGTTCCACTTTAAAAGGTGTTCTACTTATAGAGGTTCATTTAACATTAAGTCAGTTGGCCTTGAGACCCTGAAGTGTTCTACTAAGAGAGGTGTTCTACTTCTAAGAGGCATTCTACTTTACATGTTTCACTGTACATGTAATGCACAAGTTAGTAGAATGCCTGATTTGGTATACTTCAACAGAACACCTAAATTAGCTTTAGCAAGGTGCTGTGTCTGTTATCTGTCACTGAATAATACAGTGGATTAGTGTTATTGATGTGGGACAAATGGTCAATAATAATCCCATCTGGACACTTTAACAAGGAGAAATCAATGATGCTGATAGATTTCATGCTCTGTTGCTTGTAACTAGGCTATAATTCAATGCCACCAGATTCAAGACCAATAGCTAACAGCAAAGTGACCCTCTCCATGGTCTATTTATGAGATATTACATTCAATATGAAATTACCATATTTTTATAAATACTGTAGATAGGGCTGCCATCATTAGTCGGAACGTCGACTTGTCAGTCAAAATGCAAGTTCGACAACGAAGTCGACAAAATTCCCGTCATGTCGACAGCAAACGATATCAATACTTACTTGAAAATATCCAAATGGCCCCAATACATTTCAATACACATTTCAACGTGTTATGTGCGCGTATTCTGCGGAAATATTGTTCACATTCATTTCATTTTCAAAAAATAAATTCACCCGGAAGTTCCCTTCATGACTTCTCTTCTCTCTTGCGAGACGTTGTACGAGATTTCGCCCGAGCAGTCGAAATAAATCCCGGTCGAAACATTGCAGGTATTTGTCCCATTTTCGTCTATAATATTCTATTAACTTGGCATTTAGTAACAATATTTTTCTTTTTTTCCCGATGATTTTTTCTCCCTGGAAAGTTCGATTGTCGACAATATTTTCGACAGCAGAGTTCGACTGTCGACACTGACATTTGAGTTCGATGGCAGCCCTAACTGTAGATCTATGAAAGAGTATTATCTGAGCAGAAAGCAAGTAGCACCAGGTTTTCACAATGAATATAAAGTATATATGGGACTAGGAGAGTCCCTTAAACAATTTATTAAAGCGAACGAAAATCAAATATATTTTTCTTATTTTGTGCCTTAATTCTTGAAAAGTCCGAAACAGATCATAACCTAAGCTGTATATAATTTCTAGAGGCACTTTCTTTGGGCCAACCTTTATAGGCTATTTGCTTCTTTTCCCAGTGAAAACCTATTTTGATCCATATAATATCATTGGCTTATAAATTAGCCTTTCAAAAGCAATCTCCAATAAACAGTTGTATTTTGGTTGGTATGTTTAACCATAAGCATGTACTTACTTTGTGCCAGCCTTTCATAGGCCATTTCCTTCTTTTCATGAGATAGCCTTCAAACTTTCTTGGTTTCTTTTGGTATGTCTGTCCTTCTTTCAAACCTTCAATAATCTCCCATTCCCCCATAGTCTTCTGATGGCGCAGCTTCTTGCCTTGCTGGGCAGCTGGGGGGCCATCTGTCATATTGCTTGCTACGGATTGATTGTCATCACTTCCATCCTATTATCAAATAAAACAAAATGAATTAAAATGCAACATCAAATGAAAGGTCATACATAGTACTAATTATATTTGCTCTGTTTATTGTTTTTCAGCTCTTTGTTCACTCACTTTAATTTCACCACCCATCATAAACAGCTATTGTTATTTGTTAAATTTACTGTCTGACTAAATATCTTAAATAACTTTTTGGTCTTATTTGAAATTGAATGTGTTTCTGGATTATGATTGTATCTTTCTGACACATTTACTTCCTTATTATTAGGCTGAGCTACATAAATGATATGTTTACCCATATCCTGAATAACAAATTCCCAAACATCTTCATCTCCAGTTTTTCACCTTACTGAAGAAGTATACCGAATTAATGGATGTTTCAATCTGCATGATTCATTTAAATAAGATACATTTACGTTAAAGATTCATCGTTAAAGAAAATTTAATCCATTCAAACATAATTGATACAAACATAAGACATTTTCCATTTGTTAAACATAGAATTAAATTAATGTTACCCTAAATGTGAAATAACATTGTTCATTAGAATACCCTTAGGGTAGCTGGAAAAACAGGAGTACTTGCAGTTTACAATGTAAACTGAAGTTCAAAGATTTACTTCCCACCCAAACACAATCTACATCTGATAAGGGGTAAACCATAAAATCTTGGTGAAAGTACCATGAGCCTGAATTTTGATTTTTTTTACTTTTGCTACTACAAGAGCAATATTCTGTATAATATTCTGGCCCAAGGCCAGTTGTTTCGAAAGCAAACTGTTTTAACTGCTAAAAGCAAAAGGGGAAAACTGTAAAGGCCCAGTCTCTACTCAAATAGTATTCTGTTAAGCATCGATGTTGCCCCCTCCCCTCCATATTCACTCTCAGCAGAATTCAGAAACTAGGTATTGCGAAGGTGCAGAAATATGATGCAAATTGGCTCCCTAATGTTAAATGGTTAAATGGTCCACCCTTTGTTTTTCCTAGTGAATCACAAAACAGAAAACTAATCATGTCATATGATGTTTACAACAATTAACAACAATTAATACTCTGGTTTCTTAGATATTTTCTTCCTGCTTTCCTGCTACCAATCCTCAATGAAAGTTATTGAACTGCTTAGAAGCAGGCATATATTCAAGGAAAGTGAAGAGGTTATGACATACACTGTACCAAAATATAAGTATCTTATCAAATACTGAAGTATCTTTACCACAACTATGATTCAGAAAAAGAATATTAGATAAAAGTAAAGGATTTTAACACAAGCAATACCTCTCTCCTCTGTAAAAGCTGAATACAATTACAAACTGAACAGCTCCACAGAAATTGAATTCTGAGCTGTTGATCATATTTCATTTAATATCACTTCCTCCTTGACTTGCTCATCTAAAACAACATCTGGCAAACTAAATATAAAGTCAACAAGAGCATTGATTACTAGAACATCTCAGCCTTATGGAGAAGTAAATCATTATTCTGAGAAATAGTTTCAGCCATGAACTTTAATTGACATAGTGTTTTCCTCTAGTAAATTGAAACCTCATAAAGCACAGAGATCAGGCAAGTTGTGTAACGAAGTGCCCTGCTACATGAAAAATATCCATTATATTTAGAGGTTATGTCACTATCGTGGCATATATGCCCGAGGTCTCAGTGATATATGGCCCGACCTTGGGAGGGACATTGATCTCTGAGAACCAAGGGCATATGTGCCACGATAGTGACATAAACGATTTATAACATACCTATGATGATGTAGACTGGTCAGAGAGTACCGTTTTCTTATAGAATTGACAAACAAATAGTTGAAATGAGTTTAGAAAAATTGCTCGTGCAGTTTTATCTTCGATTGATTGGTTATGACGTCAGCGCCTTGACCAATCAGAAAGTTAGCGGGCGCGGGCTTTTCAAAACTTATATTGGCCCGCTGTCTTATGTACACTTTGCACTATACATCATCATAGGTATGTTATAAAACAAACTTATTCCATGCTAAGTTAGTTTTGAGGAATATCAGAGGTTAATAAAATAATGCTGATATTTTCAAAATCCCGAAAATGTGCATATTTCCTTATAGGCAATAAATAATATATTGCATCAATGTACCAGTCTTTATCCTTTGATTGGTCTGAATTTTCGAATTTCAATCTAAAATATTCAATCTGCCAACATTTTCATTTTTTTCAAAAAATGATGATGTCCTTATACAAGGCATTAACACCATCCACATAAAAGTTGGAGACTACCATTTGTGGTAGTAACATAATGACAGATAGAACAGATAATTGAAATTCAGTTATAAGTATAAAATTCCAATTTCCCTCTACTGGATCTATAATACTCAACATGGGATATGTTTATGATGATCAGTTTTGGATAAAAGGTTCATCCCTCAGAAATATTTTTTATATTAATTTTACATCCTGTCCCTATCTCCTTAAACATCACTTAGTATGGAATAAATCATGTCATGTCACATTTCCCAACAGTATTAAAGTATCATTAAGAAAAACTATGTGATCTTATATTAGAATCTGATGAAAATAGAGTATAATGAATTGGTAGTGAAATACACCCTTTCTAAGTATAATTCTGCATCTGGATATCAAGTATTCAATACAAGGGTAAAATTAAACTATTTTGAATTTGTAGCCACAAACAGAGACTTTTCATTTTTCTTATCTGCAAAAATTGAGAGGATTTGCTACTGTATCTGTCTACTGTACCCATTATGATACTTCACAACCACTCATTTCTTCCAAGTCAGTCATAATCTCAGAGCATGTTGCTTGTAGAAAAGAAATATGTATCAGAATGACCCTAGCCTTAATATAATAGTTTGTAGAGTAATTTGCCCTATAGGCAGCAAATAACGAAATTAAGAAAGCCTGATATATAGCAGATATCACTGGGACTAATAATCAGACATAATTGAATTATTTTCTTAAGAAAACAACATTAGATGGGCCTTACAATATTGGATAGAGTTTCTCTGCATTTTCTTAGATTATTAAAGCTGATATTTATAGTTCTTGCTCCAATATTGTTGGAGCACTCTCAAAATTACATATATTACAGTGATCTCCACAGGAATTTTTCTCAAGTGGGTGCAAAATTCTCATTTTCACATTTCAGACCAAAATTAGTCAAAATTTGCCTATTTTTCATGATTTCTCTCATTTTCAAGTTTCAAGTGGGTGCAAATGGATTTTCAGGTATGTGCAAGCCTATTTTCAAAATCTCAGGTGGGTGCTGCACCCACTTGCTGGGGAGATCACTGCAGTACATACTTATCTCCTAACAGAAACCAATACTTTATAATACTAGGATGATCATAGGTATTTAGGTCTTAATTATATTTAGAACCTACAAAATACTCTATGTACTATTAATACGATACAAGGTACCTAAAAGCAATATTGAAGATTCATTTATTTAATGGTATAAGATTTTTCTTAATAGCTCTGCTAATATGTAGTTACACTCTCTAATGATGTAGAAAAAACATATACATGTACCTTAGAGACTCGACTCATATCACCCAATATCCTAGAAAATCCTGCTGCAAAAATAACCACCAAAGTTTTATCCAAACGTGCCTGTTAATCCTCACATTTATTTCTGATAATCCAGGTTTGTAAATAACTCCTTTTGTGAATAATCTCAAATGAATATACAAAGGATTCCTCTTTCAAAATAATACACTGTGTATGTATTAAATTAGTGAACTGTTTGGCACATGACACTGACAAAGAGAATACTCCTAATCTTAATCCTCCTACTCTTCTACACTATTGAACATGTAGTAGTTATAGTGGTTCATCCCTGAGGAATCTAACCCTGCCACATAATTATTACAACATTCACTCTCAAAATTCTGGCTCTTGAGAATTATGAGCTTCCTGTATTACGTTACTATGTTGTAGTTTGTAATACAAAGTTTTGTTGCGACAAAAAGAGAATCATGATCTTATATGAATTAAGTTAAATGCACATATTTTACTTCATTTGAATTCTCTAAAAGGTTGTGCTTTGACTATCCACCTAATCGTCTTGCAATAATCTCAAGCTAGGTAACCATATCCCAAGAGTCTTTCAACACAGATTTAATTTAGCTAATTCTCAATTGGTTTCTATAACACTAAATGACATAATAATTGCATCTGGTCCTTTGATCAATCCTTGTAGCAATCAGATTACACCTCAAACCATGAACCAGTTGATGAAGAGTTTCCATGGTTACATGTATCTTCACACTTATGTGAACTTATGATAGTAAATTGATGAGAAACTTTCCAGAAAAAGCTTGACTGAAATCATCTATTTAAACAACTTAGAGGGATATTCTTATGTTCAATGGCTCAATGCCTATTTCTGATCCTGAACAAGTACAATGTACTTGCAGATTGCTACATCCTTTAACATTGTAAAAGTACATGTAAGGCATTGTTTCACAAATTGACCACCGCTGACATAGGAAAATTCATGAAGATTAAAACAGAATGCAGCATTCAAAGGTTTTTGTGAGGAGCTCAAATGTGAAGGAGTGGGGATCGAATTTGACAAAGAATGAGCTGTCAAAAACTCAGCCCTGGGAGCAAACTCAATTTTCAAACCCTGGGACCAATAATAGCTCTTCAAATATTGGCAAAATTCTGATTACTGGAAACATGTATTTCAAAAGTCCCTATTCCTTAGATGAAAAACTATGTCAGTACCTATCGACTGGTCAACACTGAATGTAAAAAAATTACTGAACCTTACTGCATGGGGATGTCATACAAATATCTGGCAGGTGAATAATTGAGTGTTATTCAAAAATTAGAAGGTTGGTTTTTTGGGTCATTCTGTATTCCTGTATGGGAAGGAGGTATGAGAGAGGTTTCAGAAAGAGAATTTCTATAGAAGGAATGACAAGGGAGTTCTCATTGAGAGAAGACTTGCGAGGGAGACTTTGTGAAGCAGATCTTGTAAGACATTCTCACAAGGGAAGGCAATGAA